CACTTTTAATCTTCATTCTCCATTCTCTCTTATCAAAATTTGCAAAATATATTTACTTAAAAACTCGAAATTCTCTATAAAAATCAAGTGCGGTCTTTGATATAAGAGATGAAATCACACAATTGCAAGGATATAAGATCAAATTGTAAGTTATTTTTGGAAGAAAAAAAGTGCAAACCCTAACTTTTTGCCATATTATTCAATTATTTTCAGTAAACATATTAAAATTTTGATAGTAGCTCTTGAATTCTTATACTTTTTTTATCATAAAAGTGATTTAATATAATTATATTAAAATAATGTTTGGTATGTATATATACACTCTTTCTGTGTTGAATTAATTATGGTGTGTTGTTTGATTACAACATTGTTGGACATAAAAATTGAAAACAGAGTTTAATTGTCCTTATTTTATGGATAATTTGATCTATTTCGTAAAATTTTATAAATGTAGATTTAGTTCGTTGTGAAAATTATTTTTTTATGAATGTTCAGTTTCATTTACATAAATGTTCATCTATATATTAGTAAGCGGTCATTCACATGTTAATAAACGATCTACATAATGAATTCTAATAATCTCTTAATGATGTCTATTTTTGGCTAATTTCTTCACATATTTTCTACAGGTATAGTTAATTTAGTTCATAATGAAAACTATTTTTAATGCTCGTTTGACTTTTAACACTTGTTCATGTTCATATTGAAAAATGTTCATTTATATTTTAATAATTGTTCATTTTTATATTGCATTGTATATGATCATTTTCTAATAATGGGTTCATATTTGTATGTGTAAATGTTTATTAATTGTTTAAAAATTAGATCTCTTATTACACAGGATAATTATATAAGAAAGTAAAAGACATCGATGTATATATTGAGAAAGGATATGTATTAAAAACAACACACAATAAAGATGATTTTATATACATGTTATTTATACGAAACGTATTAAATGACAATGTATAGAAATGGTAATTGAAGTTCTTTTTATATTGATATTATGTTTACATTTACAATAATATATGTTCATTTATATATGGATAAATGTTCATTCACATATATATGCAGATAATTATTTTAATAGATGTTTATTTAAATTTTATTAAATGTTCAATTATTGCACATTAAAAGATATTCATTCAAGTTTAATACTTGTTCATTTTTTATGTTGTAAAATTTTCTTTGAATATTAATACCACACATTAAATATAAGAGACGATGTTCATTTTAATAGACATATTTTGACATTTTGGAAGCTAAATAAATGCTTATTTCTATTTTATGAATTTCATTCTAATATTGATAGCTAGATGATACAAAACATCTAGTATGTAAATGATATTTTTAATATTGATTGTTCTTCCTTATGAAAAGTAAACAAGTTGTTAATGATCAATGATACAAAATTCAATGCTCATATTATAAAAGCAATATGTTAATAAACAAAAAACCTAAATGTTCAAACCGACTTCGTGATATTTCGACTGCCCAAACAATAATGTTCACTTTCGTGTTTATGAAACAATTACATATAATGGTATAGCTGTATGGAAATGCATTATTATTGCAATTAAATTGAATTTATTTTATATTGGAAATTATTTTTAACAACTCTTTATTTATATAAATACAATTCTAAGATGTCTGTATTTGCACACATCTTACTATAAAACTTACACATGGCTCTTGAAATGAACATTTCATGATACAAAAATGAACATATGTTGAAACAAGAATAAACAAAAGTGTACATTGGATGATACAATACTTCTAATAATAAAAATGATTTAAACGCAACAATCCATATCAATAAATTTGCTCTCATTTTTATTGATAAAAAATTCTTAAAATTCAATTCATAGAATATATTAATCTAAACAAAAACTCTTTATTATAAAAATGAACATTTAATGATTTATAAATGAACATTTACCAATACAGAAATGAACATATTACAAAAAATTCATAAATGAAAAGGGGCGGGGGCGGGGCACGCGCGGAGGGGGGTGCAGGCATTGTTCCCTGCCGTAGAGTGTAGGTAAAAATTTGTAGTTTAAAAGCTGATCTAGAACACTATTTAACGTAGTAAGGAGAAAATAGTTGGAAAAAGGTCTATTGATGGTTCCTCCCAGTTGATTGGGGTTTGATTCCTCATTTTCTAATTTCTGTGATAGAGTGGGGGTCCTTCTCCCGTATCTTACTGTTTAGAAAAATATACTAACTCCGATTCTTATTACTCGCAACAAAGGGTATTATTTGCGAGACATAAAATATTTTTTTGTTGTGAGTAATAAGAACCAGAGGCAGTATTATTAAGTGTTATTTCCTGTCTTCCTTTTGAAATAACCACACTACTTTTCTTTTCATATGTTTCGTTATTTTTGTAATACTTGCAAAGTTGCAATACTTCCTTGTTTGATAAGAACCCCCTACTATAATAAGTAAATGTTCTTGACATTTAGGAATGTCCACTGTTTAGATTAGTACTGAAATTCAATCCAAAACAACTTGGTTATTCCGTGTTTTAAAAATCAGATTGAAATTGAATATTTGATGGAGTTCACTATTTGCATGGCGTTTGATGCAACCCTTTCACCCCTATATTATAATTCATCCGTTGTATTTGAAAGCTATACGTTTACTTTTACACTATTCATATACCGCAGCATTTGATTTTGACTAGTTTTGATAATGTATGTAGTATAATAAATGAAAAATATAGTCATGTAAAATTTTAATTCGTCTCGATTTATATTTTATTAATATATCAAATTTTTATAATTTTAACATATTAGTAATTGTAACCATGTATTGATAAGCATATAATGAGAAGTACATGGTTACAATTACTTCATATAAAATTTCATACTACCTCTACTACGCATTACTCGCAACAAAAGAGAATAAATTATGAAATATAATATATTTTCTTTTTGCGAGTAATGCGGTAATATGTGAATACAAATCTATATCTATATCTATTTATGCTTAGTATTTAAAAACACAAACCACAAATCTATACTAAGACACATGTCACCATAATCACTCATATGCTACATGTCACCTAACTTAATCCTTTCTTTTTAAATTCCCATTTTAATATAAAAACAAAATATATAAATAATGTTTGAGTCTTTAATCTTTATGCAGTCTAAAACTTACAAATTTAAGTAAGAAAATTGAGTGTTTCATATTCAATATAATAAATTAAAGTTAAACTATTTTTTTTTTTGAATAGAATTAAAGTCAAACTAATTAGTGTTCATTACATTAACAATAAAATAGTCTTCTTATCTCCTAAACTTAAATATAACTTAAACCAATGTGTCATTCATGCCCTACAATATCTATGTATATATACTTAACTAAATTCCACAACAACATCGACACTTTTCAAGAAAAATAACCTAAGTAACAATCCGTGCAATGAATGGGTCAAAAGGCTAGTTTATTTAAAGCAGAAGAACAAAAAGAACAGATGTGGCATTAAGTCTTAGAACTACTCAACTACCAAACCCTCACATTTAAGTGTTTGACCCATTCACCCTTCAATTGCCCCACAGAAGAGGTTGGGCAGGCCGAGCCTAAACCTGAATAATCAGCCCATCAAGTTAGGTTGGGCCTTGTTCGGGATATTGGGCTTTCAAACCGGGCAAAAAACTAAAAATGTGTAGAATGCTTGTCCATGGCTCGCCTAAGGCCCATTTTGGTTAGGTCTATTATAAATTATAATAGGTACAATTATCAATATTGTAATGTCAAGGGTGTAAAGAGTGATGAAAATCGATTCAAGATCTTTGAATTGGGAGGAAAGCTCTAAACACATTAGCGATCCCTCATTCTTCTAAAATAAATTTTTTATTTCACCTAAAACTCTTTCATTTAACTTTTATTTAATTATATATTTGTTTTAATCAATTAATCCCACTATCTTTTTTATTCACTTATTTTTTTTGTTTTTGTAATGTTATATATATTCATCCATGATAAGCCAAACCGTACTTTATATTCTATCCACCTTAGTAAAAACCTTACATGAAACTTTTATTTAGAGATTATTATTGATTTAAAGCATGATTTGATTTGTAAAAACCTCATATCTTTTGAATGCATGTAAAACACAATTGATTTGTAATCCATATACGTATATACGGTGTATATTATATACGAGTGTTGAATATTGACACAAATATTACACAGTATACAAGTATTACTTTATACAAGTACACTTATTATGGATTTGTTTGAAACAAATTGAGAAGTGGGGTATCAAAAACCAAAAGCAAGTTGAGATGGGCCTCACATAATGGCCTTATTGGGCCTAGTTAGAGACGGACCTAATTTGCAATCTGCTTTTTACACTTAAAATAAACTTGTTATACTTGTAAATTGAATTTGATGTAACCTTTTATTTTTATTTTTATTTTTTTTTTATTTTTTTTTGGAGCATATCAATCTTTATCAATTATTAAGATACAGTAATTTTTTCAAATTACATTTCTGAATCAGCTTCATTCATTGTTTATTCATCCAAATGACCATTACTAGTTACTAGAACAAATGCTACCATAGTACCATTTGAAAAGGAGAAAGTAAAAAGTTGCTTAGTAAAGACGGTGGGTACTCACATTACTCAATCTCGTACATTTTAACACTTTAAATAGCTTGTCATGCTAAATTAACTGATTGCCAAAACTAATCAATAAGATGTACAACAATAATATAGCTATCAACTTACGATTTGCTATATTTACAAGCTAGTCCCTTTAAAAAAAAAAAAAATAATAAAAAAAATAAAATAAAAATTGCTCTTTTAAAATCTTAAAGAAGAAATGTAGATAAACTAAACCTTTTTGAAAAAAAAAATAATTCCCCCATATTTGCAATCGAAAAGATAACAACCTGCAAAATAGAAGGAAACGTGGGCCGGTATGCTGTTTCTCAACTCACCCTCGTTTCTTTTTTTTTTTTTTTTTTTTTTTTTTTTTCAAATTAAAAAAAAAAAAAATTTAAAATTGAATTCTTATATTCTGAAAAGGAATATAAAATGAGAAGTTGTTGAGGGTATTATTGGGCAAGTCAAAATAGAATTCCTAAACTCATATTTAACCAGTTAATTTCTGTAACACATTAATTCAAATTCAGAAGAAGAAGAGAGAGAATCAGAATCAGAAAAAAAAAAATAACACAGCAGAAGAAAAAGAGAAAGATAATACAAAATGGAAGGAGCAGGAGGAATGCAGCATTCTGAGTGTGAAGTAAACTTAGATGATTTACAACAACAACAAAACGGTGAGTCTCAATCACAACAACAGTATCAAGAATCTCAAAACGACGATTTCTTGGATCAGATGCTGTCAACTATTCCTAACTGTTCTTGGCCTCCAACCCCACATCATGACCTTCCTTCTCCCTCTTCTAATAATCATAATCCCAACAATTCCAATTCAAATCTTTCTCTCAAACCCGGGGATACGCATTCACCTCCTGATGATCATCGATACCCTTTCGACGAGGCGTCTTTGGTATCGAAACTCAGGCATCAGCAGCATCAGCAGCAGATGACAGCTAAGTCATTGCTTCTGCAGCATCAGCAGCAGTTTCTCTTGTCTCGTAGGTCTCCTGCTGATGCTGCTCCTCCTGGGATGTTGCCTATGCCTCTGACTCTTGGTAATACTGATTCTGTTGATCCTTCTTCCTTCAAATCTCAGGTATCTACATGTACTCTATTATTCTCTCTCATTTCATTATTACCCCGCTTCCTCCGTTTCATATTGTTCTTCTATTCTCACAATCCCACACAAAAGACAGAACAATATGAAACGGAGGTAGTACATTTATTAGCAGTAATTCGTGTTGTATTTATTAAAAGACTAGTTCAATTAAAACGAATAATGAAAGTATTGTATTAATTATTAGGTTGGAGCAGAAGCATCGGTTCAAGCATTGTACAATGGTTTTGTTGGATCTCTTCATGCTAACGCGCAGCCTCCGCCTCCCAATCAGCAGCATTTTCACCCCCCTCCACCTCCTCCTCCTCAGGTCTCATTATTTTTTTCCTGAAGATTTTAAATTTTTTATTTGAATCAAATCTAATGGTTCGTAAATGTTTAATGTAGGGAGGAAATTTGAGCGGAGGACAAAACTTTGGAGGACAAGGAGCAGGAATGAATCAAGCGCCGCCAGCGAGCGCATCGACAGGAGGGAGTAGTGGTGCCGGCGCCCCTCAAAGGCAGAGGGTTAGGGCTCGTAGAGGCCAGGCCACCGACCCTCATAGCATTGCTGAAAGAGTATGCACACTCTTATCTTATTTTTGTTAAACTTGTACAAGTATTAGACATGTAGCTAGGGCTGTTTTCTAAAATGAAGTAGTGAGCATTTAATTGGCGTAAATGCAATCCACGACGTGTGATTTTGTCGTAAATTGGAAATTCATGACATTAGTTTAGCGTATACTTGTATGTTTTAGGTGTACACGGAGTAGGTTTTAACTTCCGCTTTGATTGACTACATTTCATTTAGTATCTAGTACCGAGTACGTGTTTTTGCTTTGTTAACGTTGATTTAAGGTTGGCATTTATTGCAATGCAGCTTCGGAGAGAGAGGATTGCAGAGAGAATGAAAGGTTTACAAGAACTAGTTCCGAATGCAAACAAGGTAACCTCCTCAGCCTCTTACCAAAGTTTTTTTTTTTTTTTTTTTTTTTTTTTTAATTAATGTTAGCAGCGCTACCACATTATTGGAAAAGGCAAATAAAATTGTAACACCAAGTATAACATTAGTTACATTACCATACGTGATGGTGAAATGAAACTAATTTCATTAGTTTCTAATAAAGGAAGGAGAAATACATTTGTATAAGACCGGCTTATCCTTAATTGCCTTTCCATTGGCCCAATGTACCTACATGATGGTCTTATTTAAAAATTTGTAAAGGACAGACTAAGTTAAGCTAAAGATTTGTTCAACAAACTTATCTAGATGGTTACTCCTTACAAGTTCCGAAAGTGTGGAAATGGCCGATGAATCATGTTGGTAGTGAGTAGTGTGACAAGACACGATGAGGGGTTTAGGGCCTTTAGGCCATGGGGGAAAAAAGAGATTCTCATTCATGATTCATGATTGATCATCGATCATCGGGAGAGGTATATTCCTTAGCGGAAAGGGGTAGTCAATGGCTATGTCCAACTCCTAAGCACGATGTTGTTGTTAAGGTCGGTTTTATATTTTAAAAACTGCTGTTGCTGTTGGATATGTGCACAGAAATGGAGCACTGCTTCTGCATGACCCATGAGGTCGTCTGACTATTGTGACTAATATATATTATTACTAGTAAAAGGGTGTTGGAGTTGCAACTACCTTAGGATATTACTCCATTACAAAAAAATTATCATTATTAATTATGTAGTGTATGATTAAGGATCGATTTACAGTCACTGCATTTAATGGTTAGGGAATAAGAGATGAGACATCGATCTGATTCTTGTGATTACATTAAGCTAAGTCTGTATATGTGTTGGAGACATCTTAAATTTGGACCTCTGACTCGTAATTCTTTTTTATGTAAACATGATCTACAACAAAGAAGTGATATTATTTTCTATCATTAGTTACATTCTTGTAAATATTAAACTGAATTCCGGGTTTTTTTTTTTTAATTGAATGGCAGACTGACAAGGCCTCTATGCTTGATGAGATAATCGACTATGTCAAGTTTCTCCAGCTCCAAGTCAAGGTCCTCTCTCTCCCTCTCGCTTTCTGTCATCATCTCGCAAACTGGCTTATTTATTGAACTTATATTTATTCATTTTTTTTATAGAACAAAGTCTAATAAGCTTAATATCAGACTTAGTTTTTGGATCATGGTTTTTCGCTGCCTTCTTATCTTTGATCTCATCATTACTCTGTGAAGTCTATACATGCATTTAACATGTAACGGAGATTAGAATTTGCATTTATTTGCAGTTTTACATGAAAAAAAAATTGGGAATATACTACTGCGTAACATATCTCAGTTATTGAAAAATGTTGATATTTAGATGGCTAATTTCTGAAGTAAAATGACAGTATACATAATAGATGATCAAGTTAATACTCAAAAGTATTAAGAAATTACCCTATCAAGATGTTTGTTACGAGTAAATTTCATTAACGTATGCTAATATTATTGTGGTGTGTGACTTTGGTTGGACACTGATATGGTGGCCTCAGGTACTAAGCATGAGCAGATTAGGCGGTGCAGCTGCTGTAGCTCCACTGGTTGCAGCCTCTGAGGTACCAAAACCTTGTTGAGCTTTTTCAATTTGCTGCTTTACTACTCTTCTTTACATATTTTCCCTTTTCTTTTAACATATTGGTGCTAGGACTTTTCCAAACAGCTTTTGTTATTGTGGTAGAAATTTTCTTCTTACAATAATAGAGAAGTCGTAAAAGTATAAAAAGAAAAAGGTTTAGTTCTTAGCACTATTAATCTTTTTGCAGATTCCCTAACCTTTGAATCTTTTTGGATGATTATTGTGAAAGTCATAACTTGGTTACTAGTAAAGGGTGTACATTATTGTTAATAACAAGTCAGTATTCCATGTGTTTTAATAGTGAAAATGTCACGTTATATAGTTGGATATTGGTACTTAATGTGGGTTATGGAACAGGGAGGAGTAGGAGTAGGAGTAGGGCGGAGCAGCAACGCAAACCAGCCAACATCAACAAACGACAGCATGACAATAACGGAACATCAGGTGGCAAAGTTGATGGAGGAAGACATGGGTTCAGCCATGCAGTATCTGCAAGGGAAAGGGCTGTGTCTCATGCCCATCTCCTTAGCTACAGCCATTTCCACAGCAACATCACTCTCCAGGACTCCTCTGCCTCCACCTCGGCCTCACATCAACAACAACGGCAACCATCATGACATGAACAACAACGGCAACCACCACCATGACATAAATCATCATGCCCTTATCCCACCTCTACCGTCAGAAGGAGACAACAACGGAAATGGTATGAGTATGACTAAGGCTAACCTGACTCCAGACTCTTCGGTCAAGGATCCATCCAACTGATTTCGTAATGTAACCAACTTCATCTTACGCACCTACTCACCTACCTTATCACTACTTTTGTTCCATCATTAGTACTTTAATTATGTTATCATAGTTCGGTTTAGACGGCAGGAAAGAAAGGAATAGTAAATTATAGTTTGAGATTTGAGAATCACAAAGGAATGAAGTTGAAAATCAACAACAAAAAAAGGACTTTTTTTTTTTGTGATTCTGTCTACGTCGTATATGCGTAGACTTTTACTCAAAGATAATCCTAACATCTGCACCATCCGACAAAGCCCAAGATTCCCTACGAAACTTCCCTTTTAATAAACAAAACCTTATCTTTTCTTTTCTCTTTAATGGTTCAATAACAATGTTAAACAATACAAGTACCACCATTTCTTCTGCTAGTATTGTAAGGGTATTTTTTTTATACTATAGTTTTTATTTATATATACTTGGACTGTTGAGTCCTCAGAGGATGAAGCTCTTTGTCTTATTGTAAATATTACATTAATCTTTCTTTAATCACGAATTTCGATACTTAGGACATGTTCACATTTACTTAATTTCAGTTCAGTTCAGTTCAGTTCAGTTCAGCTCCAATCAGTTCAGTTCAGTTCAGCTCACTTCAGTTCAGCTCTTAATTTCCCTCTCTCTTAAAATATTCATTTCAGCTTAGTTCAGCTCAGTTCAGTTCAGCTCCAATCAATTCAGTTTAGTTCAGTTCAGCTCCAATCAGTTCAGTTCAGTTCAGCTCAGTTCAGTAAATGTGAACATGCCCTTAACCGGCCTCCATTATAATTTTTTGCAAAGGAGACATGAGTTTATAAAGTATGTTGCATTGTTACAGTTTCAATTTGTTAATCATGTAATCATTCATGATGAATGTATAATTAAGTAAATTAACAGGTTGAGGTTTCTAATATTAATTTCTTGCTTACAAATTAATAAACGATTGAGAATTTGAGACAAATGAAATTAGCATTGACCTTCTTTTGAAATTAACAGGTTGAGATTTCTAATCTTAATTTCAATGAATGAATTGTCTAAATTCATAACATTTGACCAAAAACAAGAGTTGCATATTGAAAAGGGCATTGAAGCATTTAGTTGGAAGGACTTGAAGAAGTTTTATAGAAATGGGGAAATGATTTTTGGCACAGATAGAGCTCAATTTTATGTTGCATGGTTAAAATGTGCTAGGGATCCGATTGTGAAGTCCTTATCAACCGTCTTTCAAATGTCATTGAATTCGATGGTATTCTTGAAGATAATCTGCCCCCAAGTGCTGAATTTCACTCTCTTAGTTGGTTTCGTGTAAAAAGTGATGAAAGTTTCGCTGTTCATCACCTTGCTAAGCTAATGTCATTTGGTGTTGAATAAATGTGGGTAAATTACTCTCCTACCGAGATTGCTCCTTAGTCCCTATGTAGTTACAAACACTATGCCCCTTGATTAATGCATTAACTCAATTTTCCGCTCAAAAAGAGGTGGTTATTAAAGAGATTTTTGCGCAAATTAACTTATATTAATTAATATATACGAATATATATTCAAGTGTTTAAAGAGGCTCATGAAGTGACATATGCAGGTCCAATGCTACTCCACTTGATTACTCAACTAGAGCGCGGCCAAAATAATGTTCAGCTTGTATTGAGGATGTAATTATCACCCATTTGAGTCTTTTGGCCGTTTACTAATTGAACAAAATATGTTTATGATTACATCAAAGTACTAAATTAGACAGGTGACAAATCTTATTTGGGCATACAAGTAATTCAAATTAGGTTATACTCAGAGGACAATTCATTTAGTTTTTAATTCAAAGTGATGTTGAGAATTTGAGATGTACTTTCAAGTAATTCAACTAAAAAACACTAATTAGTCACAAAATATTTAATCACATTATGTCAATCGAGTTAATTTCAATTGAATCAAAGCAAAGTTATGCAATTTCAAGTAAAGTTTGGGTTTTCATAGGGTAACTTGAAATGATTAATCGAATACGAGTAGTCAGTTTGGTCTCCTGGTATTTTTAATTCTTCACAGGATCTTGGTAGGTGACAGGTCTAACCACCTTACCGGGCAGGCGGGTGGGTTAGAAGAAGCTTTTTTATGTTTAGAAGTAACAGAGTTCGCATGCACTAAGCTTTTGAGCATTGCTTCATTTCCTATTCTGCATGTTGCAATGCTGCAGCAGCTTATATTGTATGCCTGCTTTGAGTATCACTTAAAAACAGTAAATGATCTCCTAACAATCCTAAAAGTCCTAGAGTAGAAAAATAAGCTTCTAATTCATTCCAGATCCAATAACCCCTCTCACCAAAACTAGCAGAGAAACTGAGGTCCTGAGTTAGCTTAAACAGTACTATCACAAAGTTGCATTAATGCATACTTTAAAAATTGCCTTATGCATTTGTAGTGCCAGAAACCTGTTCTTGAGCTGAAGCAAATATCTAACATCGTGCTCTAAAACAATCAACGGAATAGATTTTAAGAATCTGAAGAAGCAACACAGAAAAAACTGTATAAACTTGCAGCATCTTAATTGAATTCATCTCGCAACACTATAAGCAACACAGGGCTACATTTGTCATATTGTCCCTTCTAAATATCTTATTCAAGGAAATACAAGTCATTTTTTAGAGTGAAAATGGAACATTCAAGTTACACTAAGGCTTAAATCTTTACACTTAAATAGACCAGTTTCACGAAAAGACAAGTGCTAACAAGTTCAAATAGTCTGCAAGGGTCAATAAGTAGAAAGTCGTAAAACTCACAGCAAAAGAAAAAAATTCAATTCACAAATAAGATTAGTTCAAATAAGTCTTAAGACAAGTTTGGATAAGGATTTTGTGTGTCATGATCTGCAAAAAAGAAACCACTATATGACGTATAGGTGGCCGATTCCTAGTAGGGACAAGTGAAAGCAATGTACAAAGATGACCTTAGATCAAATAGGATAACTCTTTGATCCTATGCTTCAGAGAGTAGTACTTCTATGGGAGAAGAAGAGTGGATTCTTTTGACTTTCACTTATACAGGAATAATCTACTCTCTCTTATATGCATATATTATTCAGTTTGATCTTTCACTTTAATTATTGACCATCCTATTATATTCCTACTCTCTTATCAAAGACTGCATCCTTTTATTAGCTGGGCCTTTCTAAGTGAGCCATCTGTCAGTACAATTTTAGACGGCTCCCAGTCAATTTCTCAATGAGTTACAGCAATCTCAAAGAAATCATGTTAACATATACGATTATACGAATACAATTAATGCCACTAAGAGAAACAGAATTATAAGTCAAGTTCCCCACATGATCTTCATCTATCCCGAATATAAGAAGGCCAGTGTCAAACTGATTAACGTGTCAATCTCCCTTAGATCAATTAACTTGTGACCACTATTACTCCTAATGACCAAAATCAATCATCTAATCACATTAAAGACATAGCTAAAAATAAAAAACTCTTGCTTCCTTCTATTCCGCTGAACTAATACAGGTTGTTATAATTGACAAGACAACATTCAATTGCTGTCCAAAATGACTAGTCCTTCTCAGGAGTCATGTCGTTTACATTTCAAAAATGAAAAAAACACACTTGTTTTCCATGTGGAATGAGAGTCATGCCAATAAGTTTACCTTTTTTTTATTTAAAAAAATATATATATAAATAAAAAAGAAAACAGGGAATGAAAGTTCATAATGAGACTAAGAGTTGGTTAAATCTATAGTCATGCAAAGGAATTGGTACATAAGTTCCTAAATGTTAATCAGAGATGTAACATCATTAGCCAATCAGCAAATTAACTTGCCCAGTTCAGCTCAGAAGTTACGGTCATTGGTTGGGTTGTTGAATTTCATCCCCACTGTTCTATCTTCACTATGGTCAGCAATTATGTGGTGGTGCAAAGCCAATACCCTTTCTCTATCCACTCCTCTGAAAGCGACAAAGAATTTAAAGGGATTGCTAAGGCCAATTTATATAAGAAAAGACTCCCCCATGGTAAAGTGTATTACACCCTCTTAATAACATAAGTACATCCAACAGTCAATGAAAGTCTCAAATAGAGAGAGAGATTATGCATATCCAGCCATAAAGTCATAGAATTGATTCCAGTCCATTTATTCAGAATCACTAAAATCTAAGAGGATGCTGATTTATGTGGCAAACAATCAGATTCTGTTAAACCACAAAGCAACATTTAGTATAAATGACAATTTCTGCCTACACACAACATGTATAAATTCAAGTGAAGCTGAGGCGCTTTAAACAGCTGTGTTAGAGGAAGAGAGTCCCTGCACGAGGATGCAGAGTCAATTTCAGGCAGCCAAGGATGACTTGCCTACAGTTCTCTATAGGTTTTCTATGCACAAGATAGCCTATTCTATGTAAAGATAAAGCCAAAGATAATCCACATTATATGCCCACCCAAGTGCCTTCGATGAAAAGAGTTATCATAGTTCATCCTTAAGTGAGATTTTGGAGGCAGTTCATCCTTGGCTACCCTGACAGACTCTAATCTCTCATGCTGGAACTCCTTTTCCAAGCTCTTCAAGCACTTTGTTCATCATTTTCTAGCTAATGCAATGATGCAGTATTAAGCATCAGGTAAGTAATCAAGGTATATCATTCAAGATGCATTTATAGCTTAATTATGTATACTATCAAATGCATAAATGAGTTTAAATAAGCATCTACTTTCCCGCCTCATCCATTCTACCTGCTATAAGACAGGAAGCATGAACCATGTACACAGGTATGTGGTCCAGTGACATGACAAATACAGCATAAATTTCTTTTTCCTGTTGACCCCTATTTGTATTCGCAATTTCACAAGCCTGACCAAAAAATATCACACACACAATAGCATCTGTGCAATATTCATCACATGAATAGGTAAAATCATATAAACAAGACCATTTGTATAGACTATATAAGCAATACTAGTACAATTACAATGCACCAAGTTTCAACACATGACACAAAATTAACTTATTCACACCTCAGCTCATGTGCTACATTCATAATCTATAGAGGACATATAATAGAGCAAGGGCATCGAGAGAAGGCTTAACATCAGACAAACTAACCATCGCCAAATTAGCTTCAGCTGGTTAATGCAAAACTTCTCTCTACCCAATGTGGAGGATCCATCACAGCACAAGGATCTGATTTCTCAAAGTCGGCAACCTACAATAAGGGCAGTAAGCAAAATAAAAAAAATCAAGTTTTACTCCACAAAACTGATAGTATGATAGTTAAAAGCACCAGAAGCTACAAATGAAAAAAGTCAAAAATGAATGTCAATATAAGGTTTTAGTGATTTTAACACCTTTTCTCCACATCTAGGGCAATAGTGAAACTTATGCCAGAGGCAATCCATGGAAGGGCAGAGGAAGCAAAATCCGAGCATCATCGGCATCATGCAACCAATAAAAGCCGCAAGACTAGGTTTTGACCTGGATTGCATTTTCAAATAAGAAAATTAGGGATCTTGGGATTAATAGCCCAGATAGCATTGATCAAGCAATGATCAGCTAATAATGATTACTAAGAAAAACATGCTTAACTACATTAATACATATAAATTCATACACAAGAATTTTCATATGAAATCACCAAAGGTAGCTTAAAATCAGATGATAAACCGGTAGAAACGCAATCAACAAAGAATCAAATTTTAGTGGCATCTGGAATTACAATGGTTTGCATATCCAAAGAAATCACAAGAAAATGTATCAATGACAAATGGTCATAGTTTTTCAATGTTCAATTCTATCAATTACAGTCCACTGATATCAATATAGGAGAAATTAAATCGTGGGTAATACAACAATTAAATTGACTTAAGCTAATTTCCCTAAACAACACTACTGATTAACCTAAAGATTACAAGAAAGTAGTAGAATTTCATATAAAAGGGGCAAATCAATCCCTATCTTAATCCCCAATTGAGCTTAATCTCACATAAATCAAACCAATTAAAAAAAAAAATAACCCAAGAATCTAAATAATTGAAAGAACATAAAATGGAGCAAATGGAGGAGAGAGAAAGAGACTAACTTGACGGAAGTAACAGAAGAATGAGAGCAGAAAACGCAGGAAAAAGGAGCAGGGGTATCTCTGTAAAAAGTCTGGTGAATTGGGGCACCTTTAGGATCATCAAAGATGGCGTTGGGAGGAAGAGTTCCTCTTTGATAAGGGTTTTCTGCGACATAATAATACTGCGGCGGTTGTGATGGGAGCGGCGGGTGAGGTTGCGGCGGTGGTTGCGGCTGATACATCATTGCCGCCGGCGGATGCCCGGCGTTGTACGGAATTCCGAGCGCTGGTTCTTCATCTTTGTTCCCCATTTAGAAATTAAGATTAAGGAGAAATTCGAAGATATTTGATTGTTGATTGTTTGAATTGGGTGAATGAAAAATATGGGAGTGAAGATCGAATTTTCGTGGGGGGGAGTGAATATGATGAATTTGGGACGCGCTTTTGAAATTTCTAAGCCGGCAGAAATTGGGTGCTTTTCTGATGTTTTAAAAACAAGGTCTATGGTCAATGTCACAATGTGCAAGGGTGGATGAATGCTTGGTTATTTGGTTAATGGTTGGTTATTTCTAGATCATGATCATGTTTATTTTTCCTATATTTCTAGATACTCAACTAATGAATTATGGAGTAACCATTTTGGATTAAAGGGTATGGAGTAGTACTTTTATTTGGGGACGGAAGGAATGATGTCATTTACAAAGATTTCAAGGTTAATGTAGTTGAGCGTTAATTGAATTGAATTGCTGACATTAGTCCATTCACTCTATTGTATTGGTTTTGAATGCATTTGTTTCAATACATTAGTCCATTCACTCCATTGTATTCACAAAAATTTCAGGGTAAATATCTATTTTTAATGCTTATACATAGCCCTTAGGGCTTCTCTTTTTATCCTTTGCGAGACATGTGTTCTATGACTTTTGTCCTTCGTTTTTAAAAAGAACTTATATTGCATATAATTAGATAATTATACGCATTTATATGTTGCTCAGTTTATAGGGATGTAATTTTTTTTTTATTTTTTTTTTTTTTTTTGACAAATTTATAGGGATGTAATTAAAGTTGCATGTGGGGTAAGTCTAGTTTTCTAATATAATGATTATATACTATATGATACTTAATAATTTGATAACTCCTAGTGAACTATTGAAGGTTAGATCGGTTATATACATATCATAACATAGAGGAACTTAACCTCTATTGGATTATTGAAGGTTAGATTGGTTATATACATAATTACATATCATAACATAGAGGAGCTTGATATCACTTGTATCTGTGTATTACTGAGGATATGGCAATAAATAAATGTATTGTTCCACTCATTTTATGTGATTCATATGCTACCTGATCATTTCAATCATTTGAATATCAGTATACATTGCAAGAATATATTAGTGATATCGCCAATAATCAAATCATTAAACAACACAACCTAACGTGAAAGATTATAAAAATCAATGTTACATACATATTAATTACTAGCTAGTGATCGTGCATTCGAGAGGAAGACCTTGAGGGAAGCGATTGTTGTCCAAACAATAATCGTAAGCAATGTATTGTTGTCGAATAGATTTCATAGTCTCTTGAGTCGAAGAATCAAGCTCTTGAGAAAGCCATTGAAACTTAGGAGTAGAGGCCGATTCAGGCTTGCAAGAAGATTTACCCTTGGTAGAAGACCATACACAAGCATTAGCTTTGTAATTTTTGAAGGAAGAAGTAAATGGCGCGGCTGTCCAATTTGTCTTAACACGTCCACCTTGTGTTGCCCAATCCTCTGCATCCCAAATGCTTCCGTAAAGCCTCATTGTTTGGTTGTTCGCGTATGGTATTCCTTTCGATTCCAAGTTTCGAAATACTCGTATTGGAGTTCCATCTACATAGAATCTGAAAAATATAATAACAGCTAGTATAAGCATTGTGTATAGTAGATAAAAACAATGTTGCAATAACATTTACTTAATTAAGTTCTCCAATACTGTTATTACTCCATCCGTCCCTAAATTAAATTCTTACTTCTCTTTATGTGATGAATAAATACTAAAAATAGGAAGGTAATTTAGGGATGGAGGGAGTAATATGTTAAACATTTTTCCCATCCAAGCATTTTGTCAATTTCATTTGGGCATGATAACTCTGGGCCATGTATTGTATGACTTGGCCCAATAGAAAGCGTGCCTACCATTAGTCCATTACGACAGGAGAGATCAAATAAACCATTTTGGCGTCAAATTAGTACATATTTGTAATGTTATACATCCCTGTTAATGGTTAATTGCAACAAAGGGGTATTATTTGTGAGATATAAAATATTCCTTTGTTGCAATTAATCATTAACGGAGAAAGTAATTAATTTCGGACAAATGAAATATTAATACTTTCTCCGTTCTTTTTTACTTAACTCTCTTTGATTTTACACTATTCACTACTCTTCTTTTGACCCTCTTTTATGAATAATATATAACGAAAAACACATTCATTTAGGATTTTTTGAATTCGTCTCAATAAGTACTATCATAATATGTATCTTTTATAATTTTTACTTATAGAGAATTAAAGTTATTAATTGTGAAAGTTTTACATATACAAACGTGTGATAAAAGAAACAGGTAAGTAAAAAAAAAAAAATTGAGGAAGTATAAATTGTTAGTCTGTATGAGGTAGATAAGTATATAGGTACTAACGCAATGAGTTGGGGATTCCAAAGGATGGAGTAAGTGTGGAAATTAGCAGTTGGATCAAACCAAAGGTAAAACTGCTGCTCCCGGTTGCCTTGGCCTTGGGTGAAGATATTTGTGTGTAATATATAAGGTTGGCCAGACATGTTGCCTAAGAACTCCAAGTCAATTTCATCGTGTGTCGCTCCTATTGAAGATAGCTGCACAAATCAAGATCGATAATAAGTTAGTACACTATGTCATACGTACATAAAATCAATCTCTATTTAAAACAACATAGTGCGTTCATTGTTCAAGATTCAATAATGAACAAACAATACAAAAAAAAAAAAAAAAAACTACCTCCGATTATTTTTTAGTTGCAACTAAAAAAAATCGGAGGTTGTAATAAAAATCAGTGCGTACATAGTATGCAGTGACAACGCCAGCTGAGTTGCCAGGGACGAGTTTGATTTGCATATCGATCTTCCCAAACAAATACTCGTTCTTGGACTTGAATCCCGAGCCAGATGATTGATCCAACGAAAGAGTGAGAAGCTTCCCGTTGTTTAGCATCGTAACATGTTGATCACCCCATGTTATATCAAAATCCTTGATGAAACTCCCACTCAATGCTCCTAAGATTAAGTTGCTAAATAGGAGTATTATTGCTAATGTTACAAATCCTCTAGACATACTTGTAGAGTATATATCTATAATGATCGATGGTGAGAGCGAATGTTGCGACTTGCGAGGTGATGATGAAGATAGACGACGCTATATATATACATATTTATTCAAGAAAAATTGATGGACAAAGCTAGAGTGAGGTTTGTGATGGTGGAATTTCTAAGTGAAAAACCAGGCTGGATTAATTAAGGAGTTAAGAGCATTTTAATTTTTTAATACAGTTGAAAATTTAACATTGTAAGGTGTATAATGCTTAGTTCAGTAATGTTGGGGTGAAATGGCGGTGCGGCTGCAATATTCAAATGATCAAAGTGCGATACATGCTCAGCATTCCATTGCATTGATACCTTAATTAGTACGGAGTATAATTAATTTATGATCAAAGTGGTAATCAAGTTTTTAGGTTTTATTAAGTTGTGCTAATATACTTTTGAATAAATTCGAGAAACATCAGCCAATGGTTTAATGCTTCTTAGTAACTAGGCATCAGTGGGAGTAATTATATGTTGAATAATTAAATACAAATACAACTAGGTTATTGGAAGAGCTCAAATTTTAAGTATTGAAATCACCATCACCTTTTGCTAAGTTGTTTTAGGCTTATGAATTGTTTGGGAGCCCATTAAGGGATTGAGGTCCAGCCATAGGAACTTGGCTCAATGAAAAACTTTAAAAGCCCAAATACAGTCCAAGCCCAACAGCCAAAAGTAATAAATGTCACTACTAATAAATAATGAAGTGTTGATCCAAAGGTTTTTTGGTTTTTCCAGTTGTACACATTGATACTAAGGGTCTGTTTTCTTATGTTAAAATAGAATTCAGTTCAGTTCAGTTTAGTTCAGCTCCTAATTTCCTTCTCTTATAAAATATTCATTTCGGTTCAATTCAGTTCAGTTCTGTTCAGCTCAGTACAGTTTAGTTCAGTTCAGCTCAGTTCAGTTCAGTTCAGCCGAGTTCAGTCAATGAGAACAGACCCTAAGAAGGATAATAAGCCTTGGTTTTTACGAGTATAATTTAGGAAAAAGAGGGTTCTAGCAAACACCCCATTATTGGCTTACATGTACTCCCTTCGTCCCTAAATTTTTGCCTCATTTGACATTTCGTGGTCTCCAAGACACGTCTTATTACGGTTTTATTTTCATCTTCATAAGTGTATAAAATATAGAAACTAGATATTAATAAAAATATACGATTTTCCTCAAAAAATAAAAATAAAAATATACAATAAGACGAGGCTCGAACCCGATATCTCCTTTAAGTGACATCAAGTTGCTTACTACTTGAGCCAACTCTTATTACTAAAAACACTTCACAAGACCATCCTTTTTATCGTGTTTATATTGAGCCTTGTGGTTGCGTACGTGTGTTGTTGTGTGAGGTTCCATATATGAACGACATGTAAAAGGCTAACCCTTTCTTCCACTCATTCAGTCTCATGCTCGAGGCTCCTTGCCACCTATTTCTCATGAGCCATAGTCATGGGTATCTCACCTTAGGACCTGTTCTCTTCAGCTTAATTTCACTTTATTTCAGTTTAGCTCGGTTTAGTTCTTAATTTCCTTCTCTCATGAACAGTTCAATTTAGCTCACTTCAATAAATCAGAACAGGCCCTTAGTCCCTAATTTAAATTACAAAGAAACCCATAATGTAGTGTACCATATTTTTCACCTTATTTTTATTACTCAAATATAGTAGACAAAGAAAAATTAGATCATTCTAAACTAGACTAGAATAGCTCAAACAAGCACTAAAAAAATAGAGCAAAATACTTTAAATAATAAGGAGAAGAGAACAAAGCTAGGATACCAGTAACGTGATTGAAATTCTAGAGAAGGGTGAAGCAGTAACAAAAAAAATCTGTAAAAGTATAGATACGCGCGAGGTTGCCGGGGGATTTCCTTGGGTGTTGGGGTTCACAAAAAAAAAAAAAAAAAAAAAGGCACGCACAAGAGTATATGGAAAGAATGATTGTTTTAATTACCTCTAATTTATAAAAAAAGCAAACTGTAAAAAGCTTAATTAATCAATAAGCAAACTATATTATGATCTGATTGAGTAAAAAACTAAACGTACTAGTATGATATATCATCTGTATGTGTGTATGGGTGGATAAATATGGGGTAGCACGCCATGTTCTCAACCCACTCGGATTTGTTCCCTAATATTGCTATTTTTCTTGTGCTTGTAAATATATCACATAATTATCCCTCGTTGACTGTGCTTAAGCTTTAAGGGAATGTAATTTTTACAATTATACTACCTAGTTATACTTCCAATACAATGCGTTTCAACCTAACTTCATATGTACCTTGTCTTAATTGAATTAACTTTCATGATTCAATTCAATTAATATTGTTATTCACTTTAATACTATTACTACCTTTGTAAATTGTTCATGTTGACTTTTAACATAAAAAAATAAAAAATAAAATAATTACGTATTAAGGGTCTGTTCTAATCAGATTATTTTCAGTTCAGTTCAATTCATTTCAGTCTAGTTTTAAATTCCTTCTCTCATAAAATATTCAGTTCACTTCAGCTCCAATAAGTTTAGTTCAGTTCAGCTCAGTTCAGTCAATCATAACAGACCCTAAGGCTTTATCATTTGAGCTGCTTTGTCCTACTGAAATCTGCTCCACAATATGTTGGAAGCTCTGCTGAAATCTGCTCTACTTTGTCCAGAAGCTCAAAAGAACAGAGGCTAAACTGTTTATCAGACAGAATTCTAGAGGCTTGAAGTTCAACTCTTGCTAAAGTATAGTAGCTAGTGTATGTCTTGACCTGATTGAATATCTCTTTAACTATATAGACTTAATTGGTCCTATTGGAACCTATGAGTCGTCATACTATCTTACTATCTTATCTAAACTTTTACGGTAATTCTTATGTAAGTTTATCTAAGCTTATTATTATATCTTATGCTATCTTACCTAAACTTATCATTCTATCTAAAATACGAAGAAAATGAAAATAAGATGAGGAGAACAAATTATGCTGAAACAAAGAAAAGGAAAATGAGAAATGAATGAGGAGGGCCAAAGGGAATATTTGGTAGAGTTGGAATGAGGGGTAAAGAGTAGAAAGTGTCAGAAAAAAAAAATGGCAGCAGAGATTCCTACAACAGGCAAAATAACAAGGACAACAATACCATAAGCATATATGGCCATGTCTTAGCTGAGAGCTTGGACCTTCTTCCTAATTAATTTAGTCCTTCCTTCAATTCCATCTATCAGTCTGTCTCTCTCATTATCATTTTATTAATAATACTGATCAATTGTATTATGTATTCCACTTTGCAACCATATATTATAGCTCCTGTTCGTACGTACTGTATCATGTGTCACCCTTCCTAGCTAGAAGTTTTTATTTTGTTTGCAATTGTTCTTTTTATTCACTTATTTTTATTCTTTTCTTGACCCTGACCCTTACTATGTACACAATGACTTCTTTTTCTTGACTTATATGAGTACTCAAGATAAATTTTTTTAAATAAGACCATCTTATCATCATAAAACTACCTAATATAAAAGAAAAAAGAAAATTAGGATAGAATTACATACTTCTACAAAACAACAAAAGTAGTCTAATTATATACGGAGTATTATGGTAGTCTTAGACAAATGTTTCTCCATTTGGTTTCATCTATTTCCTTTCTTCCCTTAGTCAAAATAGTTAAATATTGCTACGAGTACAATAGCTCATAATATAGTTGACTAGTACACTAATTAACTATATTTTCTAAATATATAAATGCTATGCTCTGCCATGTTAATTAGTTATATATTATGGAGTACCAAGAAATAATTAACAAGCATACAGACAAATGATCTGTTCATATTTACTGAATTGAGCTGAACTAAACTGAACTGATTGAACCTGAACTGAACTGAACTGATGGAAGCTGAACTGAACTGATTGAAGCTGAACTGAACTGAACTGATTGGAGCTGAACTGAACTAAACTGAACTGAGCTGAAATGAATATTTTATGAGAGATAAATTAGGAGCTGAACTGAACTAAACTGAACTAAGGGTCTGTTCTCATTGACTTAACTCAGTTGAACTGAACTGAACTGAGCTAAAATGAATTGAACTGAACTGAAATGAATATTTTATAAGAGAAGGAAATTAGGAGCTGAACTGAACCGAACTGAACTGAACTAAATTTCAACGTAAGAGAACATACCCTAAAGTGAATTGAAATTAAGTAAATGTAAACAGACCCTAAACTTCAGCTTTGTTTGTATTAATCGTCTTAATTTTAGCCAACATTTATTCACCTTTCGTCTTTTTTGACCCAACCAAAATATACGTTTGGTACACATTTAATATTTTGAAACCTACCTAAGGTTAAACTTCTCAATCAATTTTACAAATTATATTTAGTTTTTTTTTTTTGGTTTTTTGAACGGTGCTATAGCTTAGTTGATTAGGTTAGCGCAATAGTTGGAAGCCGGGTTACGATACCCAACTACCCTAACCTAATCAACTAAGCAATAGTACCGTTCAAAAAAAAAAAAAAAAAAAACAAACAAAACAAAAAACTAAGGTATAGTAGAATTGGTTGACTTGCTTGATAAATTTGTTAATGGAAAAGGGTAGTGGACGCAATGTAGATGAGCCAACTGGTTTAATTGTAACAGATAAATAAAATAAGATGTCATATATTGTCATATACTACGTAAGTACGTACTTATATTTGGTATCCAAAAAATAAATGGAGTATATATATAATTCTTCGTATATACTTATATAGGAGGCGGCAAAAGGAGCTTTCCACGAATGTTTTCTTAAGAAACTCTAACTTTGTTGAAATTTAGGTTGCAAATTAAATGTTACATCTCATATTAATTATGAAAGCTACTGCCGGTTAAAGCAAAACACTCTTAGATTGAATTGTATTTTTCACAAACTATTTGACCAATCTTTCATTTCTCTTTCCCGATATAATTGTAATATTGTCGATGTTTATCTTAATAAAGTTAATTATTATTTTAAAAGACTTATTATATTTATCATGAAAACAACAAGGTGTAATACTGTCCTCTTTCCATCATAAAAAGAAGTTCGTTTTTTTCTTTACCTACTACTAGTATATATTACCATATTCCCTATCATATAGTTTCAAAATGTATTTATGTTAGATTGCGATTTAATTGAGTTAACTCTCTATGTAACTTTGACATTTGACTAATTTAACTTAGGCCACGTTCTTTAGAGCTGCTTTGCTCTGCTCTGCTCTGCTTTGCTGAAATCTGCTCTGCTCTGCTTCAATCTGCTCTACTCTGCTCTGTTCTACTTAAAATTAATACTTAATATTAAATTATTATAATAATTAATATTTAATAATAAATAATTAATATTTAATATTTAATAATAATAATTAATATTTTATAATAATAATAATAATAATAAATAATAATTAATATTTAATAATAATAAATAATTAATATTTAATTGTAATAATTATTAATACTTAATAATAATAATAATAAAAATAATTAATTATTGATATTTAATAAAAAATAAAAAAAATAATAATAATTAATTATTAATATTTAATAATAATAATATTAAATTATTAATAACAATAATAATAATAATAATAATAATTAATATTTAATAATAATAATAATAGTAATTATACTAATAGTAATAATAATACTTATAACTAATAATATTAATTATAATAACAATAATTGATTTTTATAATAGCAATTAATATTAAGATAATAACCAATATTTAAAGATAATACTAATTATTAATTTTTAATAATAATAACAATTAAATAATATTTAATAATAATTATTATTAATATAATAATAATTAATATTTAACTTTAAAAATTTAATGATTATAATAATAATGCGATAATATTAGTAGTATTATTATTAATAATAATAATAATAATAATAATAATAATAATTAATATTTAATAATAATAGTAATAGTAGTAGTAATAATAATAATAATAATAATAATAATAATAATAATAATAATAATAATAATGATAATAATAAAATTTGCTCGGCTCGGCTGAAATCTGCTCTGCTCTGCGGAAATCTGCTCTGCTCTGCTTTGCTTTGCTTTGCTCTGCTGAAATCTGCTCTGCTCTGCCCAGAAGCTCAAAAGAACAGAGCCTTATACTTGTATGACGGTTTTAGAAAAAGAAGGGGGAAAAAACCGTGTGTAAGTAGAATTAATAAAATTCTCTTTATAAATTGAAAGGTTGTAGTTTCAATTGAAAAATGGGATTGATGTGATCAAATTATACACTGAATAGATTATTGAAATACTCTTTTACTCCCTTCATGTTTAATTAAGCAATATGTATTCATTGTGCACGTTTGCCACCAATGAAAAAATTTAATTGATAATATCTTTAATTATCAATAAGTAAAAAATTATAACAATTGAATATTAATAACTACTAATTAAGACAATTTTTTAACAAGTACTTACAAAACTATATTTATTCTTATGTATGAATCACACACACTAAGCAAATAGAACAGCATATAGTATCCTAATTTTTTAACCGAATATAGTATCCTAATATACAATTTGTATGCTCATTTTTATAACAAAATTACTTAATATCAATGTAAAATACATTCATATAAAAATATTTCGTTTGAATGTGCAAGAAAAAATAATAATAGTAGAAAGTGAATATTAGGTTATAAATACTCAGTACTTTTACGAAGGAAAGACAAACGGTTTCAATATTAAGGGTCTGTTCTCATACGATTATTTTCAGTTCAATTCAATTCAATTCAGTTTAGCTCTAATAAGTTCAGTTCAACCTAGCTCATAATTTCCTTTTCTTATAAAATATTCAGTTCAGTTTAATTCATCAGTTCAGCTCTAATAAGTTCAGTTCAGTTCAGTTCAACTGAGTTCAGTCAATGAGAACAGACCCTTAGTTATTAACACAAACTTTTAAATAAAACGGATGTTCAGTAAGTTACTGAACATCCATTATAAAGTGACAATAAAATGTGCAAAAGTTACACTTAAACGCACAAAAGTTACCCTGACATATATAAGTGTTATTTATGCTTCATTGATAAATTTGACAAAAGTGACACTAAATTTGACAAAAGTGACACTAAATCTGACAAAAGTGTACCCGATGTATAGTAAATTACTGAAAACCGGGTGTATACAAAAGTTTTCCAGTTATTAATTAGGAATAACTTTATACACAAACAAGTGTGAAAGCTTAAAAGGTCATAACCAAAACAGAAACGAAAGAGATGAATTATTTAGCAAATTTTTAAATCTAACATCTAATAATGACTTTATGAGGTCACGCGTTTTAAACTATACAAGTTGATATATAATTCCTTTCACGTAAAGCTAGGAGGATAGTCTATTAGAAAGATAAATATAACGTGATTGAGGGTGTCGCATGACAAGTGAATGTACGCAACTACAACGATCAAATCTTTTTCTTTTGATGTAGCTTAAAATCCAACAGTTTAATAATGGACGAATTATAAGATTTTTGAATTTAATTTTTTGATTTTAATTACAAAGAAAATTGTTAAACATATTTCCTAATTTACAAATGTTAATAATGTTAAAGAAACAAATTGCATTAAAAAAAAATTAAATTAAAAAAAAGGCATGGATTTAACCATAAAAATCAGGAAAATTAGTTAAGTCAATAATGAGATTCCTCGACTTCCATAAATGAAATCAATCAATTTTAATGATGATTGACAGTAAAATAAAAATGAAATAATAGGCTGGCGCGTGTATACTTGTTGTTACTTGTTAGTTGTAATTTTAGAATTTGACCAAAATACCCTCATGGAAAGTCTTCCCCCACCACCACCACTGTGTATTTTGTGTTTGCTTCTTTCAACACCTTCTTTTACAATTACACGCTCTTTCCTCTTTCATCTCTCTCTTAACAAACCCCAGCTTTCTCTCTCCTCCCCTTTTTCTCTATTCTTTCTCTCATTTTTCGTAACAACAATTTTTCTTTTATTTTTTGTTTGAAAGAAATCCTTTTTTTTTTAAAAAAAAAATAAATTTGGTTTTATATTTGGAGAAGAAAGATTTTGGTTAGCAAAGTTATTTTTGCTTAAAAATCAAACAATCAAATGGCAACAATAACCGCATCATTAGAGCGATCACTTCAAAACTGCTCTTTAAACCAAACCACCAGAACTCGCCGAGGTGGCGGCGGAGGTGGCGGTGGTTTAGGGCGGTCATCGTCGTCTGATTCGCCGGAAATTATTCACAATCATAAAAATGACAACCGTGGTAGACGGCGTGGTAACGATCAATCTTTGGTAGGCGCGACGACGACAACAACAACAAGAACAACACAACAACAACACTGCTCAAACGCCGCATCTTCTTCAGATGAAAATTCAACATTCGTTGAACTTAACTCCCATGTTTCTCTCCCTTACCATTGGGAACAATGCCTTGATTTGAAGGTTCGTTTTTTTTTTTTGGGTTCATCTCTATTTTTGTGGGGTTGATAGGGATACTTTTGTGTAGTTAATTTTTGTATGATTCTTCTAATGTTTTCTTGTCAATAAATACCCTTTTATTAATTACTTCTATTGATTGATTTTACTACTTGCATTCAATGTTCATTCATTAGGAATTTTTCATTTTAGATTCTTTTGTTATGAAACCCTAATTCAATATTAAAATTGAAATTACAATAGAGTTTTAGATAGGTTGTAGTTGTTATTATAATTTTATTCTTTTTTTAATTTGCATGCATTGCTCCAAAAAAAAAAAAAAAAAAAAAAAGGCTTATGAATTTTTATCTTGAAATGGCGCAAGAAACAATTGCAAATTTGGATGGCTTTTCATTTAGCTTTCTTCTATTTGGAGATAAAGTTTTAATCTTTATAAGTTTATTCACCAAATATTTCAAAAATTAAAAAATGGGTTTGTTGGGGTTGGTGGATAGAAGTCATATGTTTGTTATTTAATTTTCAGCAATGTCATACACAAATAAGCCTAATAGTATGAAATTTTTTATGTGTAATGACAGACAGGGGAGTTATATTACATAAATTGGAGTAATGGAATGAAAGCAAAGGAAGATCCAAGAACAACAGCAACAGGTTACAATGGTGATTACTACTCAGAAGGCGAGGAAGAGGATGAGGATGAGGATGAAGATGTGGACGAGGATGAAGAAGAGGAGAGCAACTGCTATGATAGTGAGAGTTCATCAACCGAATCATCTCCGTGTTCGAGTAATCGAAAAGGGAGTTTCCGATCACTCAAGAAACAACAACAACAACAACAACAACAAGAGCCAGAATTGAACCAAGAATCAGTATTAGTAGTGGCAGGTTGCAAGAGTTGCTTAATGTACTACATGGTGCCTAAACATGAAGAAGACTGCCCCAAATGTTCTGGTCAGCTTCTTCACTTTGCTGCCAATAATTCCTCCCCTTAGAATTTTAATATCAAATTAAACCGACATTATTATTATCATCATTATTATTATAAACCAACTCCATTTTTCTAAAGTCTATATAATCTTTTTTTTAGTTATAATCCTAGAAATGGAGGAGGAAAGTGTATTTTTTTTTTTTAATTTTTAGTTTGTTAATTAAGGTGAATTGATGGTAGATAGAAGAAAGAGAAGAAAGAGTTGAGAGGGGTGGATGAATGGTTGATTCTTGATTGTGACATTCTGTAGCTTTGTTCTCTTTGTTCTTTCTCTTATCTCCCATGCTCACATAAATATTATATTTTCGGTTTTCTTTTATTTTGTCTACTACTCCCTCTTTTTCTTTAATTTGTCTCATTTTATATATTTTTGCCTCCATAAATTATGCAAGATTATCTAATTAAGAAAATTATATCCATGATTTATGAGTTAGTCATTGACTATGGATTAGTTATTTAATATGTTTATGCCTTTGACATTTAATATATTGAGTGATTGAATGTCAAAAAACTACAAAGTGTTAAAACAAATGATTGATTGTGTTCTGGTACATGCATATTGGCATATTGCATATGTATACAAACATGCTTCTTGATGACTGCAATTTTTTAAATTTTATGTCATTTATTGGTCTTTCATGTTATAGTGTTCTCAATGAGCTGTACTATTTAACAAAGATGCTTAATTCTTACTCCTTTGATTATTACTTAAATACTTCATGTGAGCTACTAGAATTCAATATAATATGGACCATATATTGATCACAATACATACAGAGTACTTATGTAGTGGTCATTTAATTGTACGTTAAAACTTGTCTATACATGTATGTCAGTTTGTCAATGTCATTGAATTTGTGCCTCACAAACATTCACAATTCTCCACATAGTTTTGTAATGACATGATAAAACCCTTCAAATGAACATCACACAATTCTTCTCACATTCACAATATAATCATGCTATCTTTTACTTATAGAAGTAACTCAATTAAGTCATAAGCATTCATAAGACCATGATCAAAGCTTAATTAGTCAAATAAGAGGCCATTTTTACCAATATTGATCTTGTTTGTTGAACTGCAAGCAAATCAGCCGTCGCCACGTAGGTATAAGCAGTCCTAACCTTTACGTTTATCATGGTTGACTAGGAAAGCTTTATTTTTTTTGCCCATCTTTTTCTTCTCCCTTTTAAAAAGAATAAAAGCTAAGTTGTAACCGAAAGTATGATCATGTAGTTTGACCCTTATTCTACGGGAGGTGATATCCATACTCATCAATGTCACAACTTGAAGTTATATACGAAGAAGCATATATAATGGGGTTAACACAATCATTTACCACCTGCTCCTAGTCAGTACGCCTTGATCAACTTGTACATTAATTTTAAATCATTTAGATTGTTATCCTTTAGCAACTCTATTTTTTAATTAACCCACATTATTATTATTATCTTTCCTACTATTATTAGTTTGCCTATCTTGCCTTAATTATACTCAAGACTAATTTATTCTTATTTACTTAAAAATCTACTTCATATTTTTAAACTTTGTTTTGTTGTATTTATTAATCATTCAAAAAAAATGCAAGCCGATTCGATCCTAAAACATGTTGACATTGTATTATAAACCACTCGATATGTTATTATTCCTTCAGTTCCCTTATTTTTTTTCCACTTTTACTTCGTACACCCAAATAGAAAGACCAAAAAAGAATGAACATACAGAGCATTTGAATATTTCCTCCATTTTTTAAAAAAAAATGCATCATTTTGACTTTTTCACTATTTACATATCATGGTTGACTATATTTTTTCACCATAATAAAATAAATATTATTGTATAATATATCATTAGATTAGTCCTAATGCCTAGTTTTATATTCCGTAATATAATTTTATTACAATTTTCTAACAAGAAGTTAAATATATTAATGGTTAAAGTTATGTATCGGCAAATATATTGTAAACTGATGCATTTTAAAAAATAATGGTCCTTTAAATACTACTCATAGAATGGGAGCAGATGAGCTGTAAACAATGGTATTTGTCTGATGGTAGAATAGATTGGTATAGAGGCAAAACACCTCTAAATTGGAGCTATAATGTTACAGTAAAACAGTATATAGGAAACACTAGCAAACAAAAAAAACCAAAGAGACCTTTGTTCGTTTGGTTTCTCATTGTCATTCGTCAGGGGAATCTAAGCAGGTTTTTGCTGTTAAAATTGCCACCACCAACAACAGCAGCAGCAGGATGAAAGAGAACCTATACTGTGTTCATTTTCTCTCTTGCTTGATAGTAACATGACTTGTACTACTACTATCCATTTCGTTATGGTCCATGTTACAGTCTTTCAAATATTCCCTCTCTTATTGTTCTTTTAGCTTAGATCACGGGTATCCTGTGCGTATGTGTTTACTAGACTCTAACTAATATGGATTTGAAATAGGTTGATTTTTATAAACTGAAACGTCTCCCTTTGGATATTGTTATACGGAGTACAATACTTCCTAACACTTCTCTTTTCATACTTTAATAGTTAATATCTTTGATTATCAATATGTGAAAATTATAAATATAAATAGTATAAATCGAGATGAAAATTACAAGATTCTGCATGACAAAATTTTTTTAGCTATAATTGACCAATGTTAGTCAAAGGAAAGCAAATACAGAGTAAATAGTATAAAAGTCAAGTGTTGCAAGTGTAAAAAAACGGAGGAAGTATTTTCAAGACTTGGGGCCTGTTTTGGTTTACTGAAAACAACTGAATTGATTGAGGTTGAATTGAACTGAATAGAGCTAAAATGAATTGTTTATAAGAGAAAGAAATTAGGAATTAAAGTAAACTGAAATTAAGCTAAACCGAAAAGATCCTTAAACCCGAAAGATGTGACGCGGATATTAAAACATAAAGCTGTAGTACAATTAAGAGATAAGTTTAGATCAAGAACAATTAGTACTAATTAGATTTGCCAAATTTAATTAAGATTAAGAAAGAATATTAAGCTAGATTTGAAGATTAAAAAGGATGTGAAGGTTAAAAAAGCTAAGAAAGAGGTCCAGGTAACAGAAAATAGATGAAGGAGAGAAAGAGCAGGCTAAAAAGAGTATCTATATCAGTGGTTTTCTGATAGTCTGGAAACCCCAGAAAAGAGAATCTGCTTTTTGTGGGGGCTTTTTTGTCCTCCTTTCTGACTTCTTTTCTTTCTTCTTCTTGTTGTTGTTATACTCTTTTATCCACCCTTTTTTTTCTTTTTTTTTTTTTTAAACCAACATTCCTGTTTTATTTTTATTTTTTAATTTAGCCACATTCTTTGTTTTCATATTTCTCTCAAAACTCTCCCCTTCTCGGTAAGTTAAAACCCGTTACCCACTTGTTACAATCAAAAGACGAGTTCTTGTTCTTTTCTGTAAAGATTCTTTTCTTCACACTCTTGCTCCTTTTCACTCCCTTGGTTAAAATATGTTTACTTACTACGGAGTTCTCGTAGACCTTTTAAATATACCCGAGTACATAATATCGTATACAAGTCTTATTTATATACGCCTGAATATAAGGTCTACCTAAAGAAAAGTGCGCTCGAGGATATATACTATAAGAATTTTCAAAAGAAAATCCCCAAACACTCGTAAACAATATTTGCCTCTTTCATGGTGTACGTTTGTAAAACCATGTAAATTTGTCTCTTTAATTTCATGATGTATTCAATTCGTGTTTAGCAAGGGATTGTTTAGTTCACCTTGTTTTTGCTTATTTGATCTGATATGAACATATTTTTTCTGAAATAAGTAAAAATAAGTTGAATTAAATAAGGCTTAAATTTTAAGGCTTAACTATCAAAATATGTGCCACTCAAAATAAATAAATAAACAAAATACTAATACGTAGTATTTAATTAATAATGACATTTTATTTCTCATTTGAATTTGCTTAACTTAGCTAAACTAGCTTATTAGATTGTTTATTGATCACTGATTTAAACTAAAAGTCTATTAGAACAATTTTTATTGTTAAGGTGTAAATTGATTCCTTACTTATTTCGCTATAAAATCAATTTCAAACCGTAGTTCAAATACTAATTGGGTTTGGAATTTGTTATATACACCCGAATATACTGTACACTCATAAGTATTTTGTTCTCATTTTGATTATTGTTTTTCATTTAATCATCAAATGAAGAGAAAAAACTAACCTTGGCTTAGTTGAGTGTGTGTACGATACACCCGGGTGTATATAACGGTCTAAGACTAAAACAGAGTACTTCCGTTTTTTACTTGCAACACTTCCCTTTTTATGCTTGCATATACATTATTTCAATCGCTAATATCTTTAATTACAAATATGTAAAACTTATAAACATTTGATATTTCAATAGTATAAATCGTGACGAATTTAACAAGATTCCATAATACTATATATGCTATTATTTATAAATCATCAATGCTAGTCAAATAGAAGCAAATAAATAGTATATAAGCCAAATTGTTACAAGTATTAAAAAAAAACGAGGAAAGTATCTCACTTTTTCGGCCAAAAAAAAAAATATCATTAGAGACATTAAATTAATACGAAGGATCTTGCTAACGAACGCCCCTGAGGTGTTGGATAAACATTTAAAATATTACCTAAAGTGGTATTAATTTGCGAAAGTATGACAAAATCACGCGTCAATCGGTGTAATTAATGTTAATTTTTAATTTAATCTTTCTATTTTTAACTAGCTTATCCAACGCCCCCGGGCGTTCGTTAGCTTTTGCCTCATTACATTTATATCATTTGTAATTCTTTAAAAGGTTTTTTTAATTATCTAAATCTTAAAATCAATTAAAATGCCAATATGCTATGTTGTGCCATCTAGAAATGATGGTAGTACTTGGATCCGAGTATGTTGATGAAGATGTAATATGGATCAGCCATTTGTTTTTCCAAATGGGCCAGGCTTTGTAGTTCAGTTACTTGTCAGGAAAGAGAAACAGGCTTAATGGGTTTATACTTTCATCCGCAACTTCCAACCACAAAAATCCCACTTTACTATGGCCCAAAGCTCTCTCTAACCACTAGTATTTGCAGATCGCATACTCTTTGGGTTGAGTTGAAAGCTGAAATCATCTTTTCCAACTATTCTTAGGACATTTGGTCCATTTGGAACCATAATATTCAACGGACGCAGATAAGTTTTGCGCATTCTATCATACACTCGAATGTACCTCATACCCGAAGGCATGTAGGATGGAGGATGACACAAGTGTAAAGATTGAATCATTGAAAACCATGTATTGATTATCTTGTAGATAGAATTTAAGGTAAAATGACATTGATAAAACCCATTCTTATATTACATACTTCATATGCATAAACAATAATGTACATCACATCAATACAATAATAACAAGAAACATACAATTACAAACTACAAAGTCTACACAAAACATGAGGCAGAAATTAGAATCCTAAATATGCTAAAATCATACTGAGTGAGCCCAAAATACTTGTACCATAAAGCACAACAGCATTTCACTATCAAGAAGATGATATAGATCAGTGTCTTGCTAGTGCGATGCAGCGGCATGGGGACCATAATCAGATGCCCTAAATTGAGTAAGAGTCTCCAAGAGATGATGGGTTGCCTTGTCAAAATTGACAAATCCCATGAACCAGAACTCATGGTTGTCTATTGTTGTCATCTGAATGTATCTTTCATTATAATTCGCTCCAATAGTCGTCGGGTTGATCGTGCTTATTTGTGCCAGTGGTATCATAACCTGTCAAGTAAAAATTGCACATTTTAGTACTTATTAACCAATAAATAACAGTAACATATACGAAATTTGATCTCATGTCTTTGGTATCACCTCATTAAAACTTAACCCTTTATTCTATATATCGCGATTATATTCATAGTACCTTGTAGTAGCTCCAAGCCTCTTGGCCGGAAGGAGCAATGAAAGAAAGCGGACGATCACTGCAGAAGCCAACCCTGACATTAGACAGGTACAGGGTTCCTGCAACAGGTCCTTTGGTGGTGGAGAGGTAACAGGCAAAGGTCTTTTTGAGCTTCTCGTCGGGTTGTGTTTCAAAAATCTGCTTGAACATCGGCTCAAATCCACCCTCTGTGAGTGCCTTTGCCGTCAGATTGATCTTTCCCCAGGCTGCTTCTGATACTGACGGTCCTGTTTTCACTGCATCCATTTTTTTTTCTTACAATTGTCAGTCAAAATTTCTATAAACAAATTGACCTTTAACAATCACAAAATTCACAAAAATCATCATCTTCTGAAATAAATAGTTTTGGAAGGGTTCGGACGCTTTAGAGTTAGTTATATATACAACGGTTGCATTGGATATTTACGGGTTAAAGGAGACTTACAGTTAGACCAGATGTTACGAGCAATAGTCTCGGCCTTGTGAGTCCAAGTGTTGAAGGCATGAATAACAGGCTCAAGAGGGTTATTAGTAGGTGCTTTATCCAAAGGAGAGTATACCAAGTAAGGTTGATCATGAAAATATTGTTTCTGGTGCTCATCTGCCCTCCACAAGGCCGCTTCCTGGTTGTCTGGATGGGCTGTCGGATTAGCCGGCGGCCCCATCATGTGAGTCCCCCACTTCTTTGTATCTTCCTGATCCATCGACGTCACCACTTGCTGTGGTTGCGGTTGCGGTTGTGGCTGTTCTTCTTGGTGTGTTCCCGCCATTGGTGGTTTGTTTGATCAGTTGAACACAAATTAGGCAAGTAGATAAATGAGGTGTTATGCTTTGTTAGGTACAAATAAAATTTGTCTAAGATGATTTATTTATATACTAATTAGATATTCTAAGCAAGCAAATACAAGTTGAGTTGTTCCAAATTCCAAAATGAAGATGTCACTTCAACGCGGTGTTGTAATTCCTTTCTTGCTAAGTAAGATCACAATTTTTGGTGACTTGTTAACCATTAACTTCAAACTATGTTATAGTTTCAGATTGATAAATAATCGATTTTGTTAAAGACGTATCGATTATTTATGAATTTTGATCGGAATTTATTCTATTAAATGTCATCGTCACACCTGGCACGTGAAGTTGTACGTTAATGTTACTTTTGACACCTAGGCTCAAGAAGAACTTTCTCATGTATTTATCCTTAACTTTTATAAGTAGTATGATAAGTTTTATATAAAAAAAAAATTGCTAAAGATGTGTGAATTACACAGGTAGAAATATGAATTTAATATAGAATGTGGTGGAAATATATGGGACTCTCCAGAAATGCGGCCGAGTAGTTTGGATTAGTTTAGAAGATGACTGATGTCGACATATGTTGTTGACTAGCAATATTGCTGATTGAAACACCAAACTTTAATTTCAAATTAAAAAAATAAATAAAAATGGCAGAGATATATTTCTGGATTAGATTAGCGTGGACCGTGTACATAAGCCCATAAATATGTGAGCATGTGGACCAGGCCCATCACTTAAAATCTTAATTATAGTTTTCCACGAGGCCCAAAAAGACTACCATTTAGGGTTTTTTTTGTTGTTGGCAATTTGGTACAAGTATTCAAGAATATAGTACTCCGGTATTAAGTTATTAACAATTGTAATTCTGTATCGAGCCAATAAGGGTTGGCTATTTGGCTAAAATGGTAAGCAATGTTTAAGGAGGGTTCGAGTTAGAACCTCATCGTATGTAAAAATTCTTGATAGGAGACTCACATATTATAAGCCAAATGTGAGATATGAATATAGACCGATTAATGGAGGTACATGTGTAATAAATGGTGCATATGTGACATGATGTGTTTGGCAAAGGGTTGATCATCGTGCATGCATTTGTTGTAAGCTAACTAGCTGTTAGTTTGGCAATAAGGATAAGGACGAAATATAGAAATTTCGCCAATACTTACTTCTAAAAGTTAACGTAGGAAGGAAAGGTATGTAGTGTTAATCCTTAAAAGCAAAACTAGGATTTTACAAAAATTGCCTTCATTAATATTCTACCACAAATATAATGTTTTAAATTCTACTCATACAATATAATTAATTAATCATAACCTAAAGTGGAACATCAAAATTATGAGCTACTCTAATGTTACCCATGTTGGTCATGAATCATACCCTCCATCTCAAGGCAGATTACTTTCTTTTATATTTTTTCTTCTAAATTTCATAATTTTATACTTGTAATTTTACTTGTATAGTATGGTGCAATACCTTAATTTTGGTGCTAATGAATTGAGCAGGTTGGTATCCTGGACCGGAAACTGCACCGCCTCCACCGCCTCGGCCGGGTTTTGAGCAGGGGTATGGATCAAGGCCGCCTCCTGGGCCTGGGTATCAAGGTTACTTCAGTGATAATTACCCGCCACCAGTATCCCATGTCCACCACAGCGGCCCAACTCATTATCCATATCAGCAGCCCTATGAAGGCTATGATTACTCCTATGATTCTGGCTGTCCATCCTTCCTTAGGGCTTGGTATTATTAACATCTCTCTTCTTTTTTTTTTTTTTTTTTTTTTTTTTTTATAATTCTTGTTTAATGTTCTTTGTCCTCCTATCTAGATTATACGAAGTTAATATTTTACAACACTGTTTTTCGTTTTTTCTAATTGCACCATTTGATATAAACATACTCCGTAATATTTAGGGTCTGTTTTACTGAATTGAGCTGAATTGAAGTGATTGGAACTGAACTGTTTATAAGAGAAGGAAATTAGGAATTGAACTGAAGTAAACTGAACTGAACTGAAATTAAGCTAAAGAGAACAGACCCTTATTTATTTAGAGCTTTAATGGTATAAAAGATAAGGGATATTGAATTGGTGTGTAAATACATGCACAAAAGTAATAAGTATATAAGAAACTATGAAAGCACATCAACAAAATTGACATAGTACAATTAATATGAAATTGAATATGACCTTCATGAGCTTGTGTTATGCACACGTTCAATCATCTACAAGAAGCATTACATAATTATTTGGATAGGTGAAATAAACCATACCACTAGAACAAATGAGAAAACTAGAAATTTGTGCTTGATAAAAGTTCTTTAGTGAAAAATTGAAAGTCAAATGAAGAAAGTCTTTTTCACTTAGTCCAGTAACTTTTTCTACTTCTAGTAAAATGAAGAAAGCCTTTTTTACTTAGTCCAGTAGAGATTAACCAATCTTTACTCTAGATAAAAGGGCATGGAAAATCAATTTACTAATAATATAATGTATTTCTTTAAACGTTTAGTTAACCAAACTACCATTTAATGTTGTTGGCTTTAAGAAAACTTGTAACATTTAATTTAATTGGCCCTTTTAGCAAGGAAGTATATTAGATAGAGAATTCTTTTATGTTGGAGATTCCAAACAACTAATCAAGTGTTAGACCATATTGTAAACCAAAATCATAAATAATTCGGCTTTGCATTGAATTATTACGTATTTAATCGGCATTTTGATGATATAAAATGTATGTATATATAATGTTATACAGTATTAATACTAGTTCTTGACTTTGATGTGGATGCAGCGTTACTGCTCTTTGTTGCTGCTGCGTCCTGGAGCAGTGCTGCAGTTTTTGGTGATTTAGTGTAGTGATAATCATGCAATTAAAGTCATGTATTTTATTCATAAACTTTGTTTATTAATTACTTGACAACGATGTAATAATTTAAGATGTTAAATTGTTATAAATCACTTTATTTATTTTATTTTGAGGCACTAGCTAGCCAAGTAGCTACTGTGGCAACAGGTTGTTGAGGCCGGCTAGTATTTGTTGGAAGTTGTCCAACAGCCTTCAACTTTGTCACTAGGAGATATAATTAGTCATGAAATAGACATGAAGAAGCCATTCTTAAAATCAGTCCAATTTGACTAATGGCTATCTGCCTATCTTAAATGGCGTAGAGAATTACTTCGGACATTGTACTCCCTCCGCCCCCGAATGATAGTCACTATTTTCATTTTTGGACACCCAAAATGTTAGTCACATTTCACAATTTTAGGTCCCATACAATGACACAAAATGACCTATATACCCTCATTTTTTTTTGTTGTATTATCTAGGCCGAGCAAAACTATCCGAAAAACCGATCCGTAACCGTTCCGAAAATTAGGGTACCCGATCCCGATAATCATAACGATTCGGGTACCCGTTCCGATAATTTGTTATTGGGTATGGTTATGGGTATCATTTTAAAATTAACGGTTACCCGATCCGATAAGCATTTTTTTTTGCTTTTTTCCCTACTTAAATCTATTAATATAAATCTAAACTTTTACTTTACTTCATAATCACTTTATAATATCAATGATTAGTAATATTATTAATAATTTGGTCAAGATCATACGGTATTGTTTTTAATTAGTTGTAAATTATATCATAATAACTACATAACTAAGTTTAATTATCATTATTGGATATCTTATTGGGTACCCAATAACCGATCCGAAAATTCGGGTACCCGTATCGTTTCCAGTTATGGGTATCACTTTTAGTAATTTTGGTTATCGGGTACCCGAACCGTTAGTACTAACGGTACGGGTACTCGTCCCATGCTCACACCTAGTATTATTTGTGCTTCCCAAAATACCCTCATATTTGCCTTTGTATTTGTGCCTTAATTGAATGAGTTGTCTCCCTTTTTAATGACAATCAGTTTCTCTCTCTTCTTTTTGTATTGCACATGGTTGAGTTTTAGTTCCCATGTACTTTATTTACTTCTCCTTAATTCCCGTGATTTTCACCCAAAAGTGACTATCATTTGGAGACGGAGGGAATATGTGTTAATGTTAAACTAATTAATCGCTTAAAAAACTTCATCCCATCCATGTGAAAGGAGTTTGATTCTCGAAATAAGCCCATTGAATGAATGTGTCAACTAAATATACAATTCGTCTATTATTTTTTGTTTTATTCAAAATAAAGTTAAATTAAAAATATATAGAGAGTAAAAGAAAGTTCTTTCAAAAGATTAAAAAAAAAAAAGTACTCGTAATGATTAAAAGAAATACAAATGTAAAAAGCATGTTAGAAAATTCTTATTTTTGAATCTTACTCCGCAGTATTTTGCATGGCTTTCAATCGAAGGAAATATAAACTAACGTCTTTTTTCTTTTTCTTTTTTTTTTTAATTCATTTTCTGTTGTTTTATTTATATAGGGTAGTCGCAGTTCCTAATTTAATACTCCATATAAACATAGAGTAAAAATGGTTGCTTGATTCATGGACATAGATGTCGGCAATAGAACCCTCCATAGTTCATATAGTAGACATGTAAAAGTGTTACTAATTCAAGCACAACAGTAATCAATGAATGAGAAAATGTATTAAAAACATCAAAAACATGTTAATAAGCCGAACAATAAAATCAATAATTCATATAGTACAAGAATTGCTTGGTGCTAAAGATAATTAAGTGGATAATCAAAAAGCACGTGGTTAGGCCAAAAACGTAGAAAAGGGTAAGTTTGGTGTAAGGGGGACATCCTTTTTTTGTGTTGAATTTAATTAAATTAAATGTTATGTTCGGCTGATTCAAATTCAACCGTAGAATTCCCTATTTTCAAGGCCACGTTTTTTATATTGCTACAATTTAATTTGATTTAATGTGCCGCTCTTTTTTCAAGGGTAAAGGTAAATACAAGGTGCAGCTTGCGTGAACTAAGGAGTTGTTGAAATTCAAACTAATTCTCTTTCTAAAGTTGCGTGAGGCGTGATCTACCTCTTTACATACACAGCTCACAGTTACCTCCACAACTACAGTTATATTCACAACTATATTTTGCTGAACATGTCTTTAATCGGTAAAAGATGATAGTTTAGTATGATTATTCATCTCACCTTAAAAATATAGGAGCATGTAACTAATACCAATTACCCAAAATTAAACCCCATACACCAATTAAGACCAAATCATACACCAATTAAAGACCAAGTTCAAAAACATATATAAAAAAAAAAGTTAAAAAAAATATTTGTTTAAAAGTTGCGACTATATGACAACTGACAAGGTAATTGGATGTTTCGGGTTCAAGTTCAAGTTCGAGAATTTTGATATGACAGGTATTATGCTCACCCCTTAAAATATGTTCCAATCAAATCAATGCCTTAAAAATAAAAATAAGAACGGAGGAGTAGTGATTAAGGATTTGTTCTGATTTACCAAATAAAGCTGAATTGAATTGTTGATGAGAGAAGAAAATTAAGAATTAAACTGAACGGAAATAAAACTAAAATAAACATAACATACTTAAAAAAAGCAAGCAAATAGAGAGAATAAAAGGTGAATCACGGCCTTTGACACTTGTACCCCAGGCTTTGACACTTGTATCCCCACCTCTGCAGTCATGCCCCCATTCATCTCGTGAACGTCGTGACTCAATAAATTAAAGCCCCACTTCTCATCCGTTTCTCCCTCCTCCCTTTCTCATTCAAAACAAACAAACTACAAATTCCAACCACTGCTATTTCTTTTTAGCTTGTTTTAAATATGTGCGAGTGAAGTCAAGTTGTTAGATACAATTCCATCCCCTCTCACATAAATCATAATCCATTATTACGCTCCTTTTAATTTCTTGCAATTACAACCATTCCACAAATTAAAAAATCACTACTCCGTATTATTCTTGAATCAACAATTACATACTTGACAAAATCTCACTAGACGACCAAGTCATGGCTAAGTCTCACGTTGAACTGGACTTCTTTGGGTTACAGCCCTTGCCCCATCCTCCTCAGCCCCAGTCTCAGCCTCAGCCTCGGCATCGCCTTGATCGCCGTGCAAGTTTCCGTGGTATGTAACCAACACCGATATGATATGATATTATTCGTATTTGGCGTAAAATGTTAATTATGATTTGTGAAACAGGAATAGCAAAGATAAATCCGGAAATAGTGAAGAATGTGATAGCAAGCAAGTATGGTGCACCTGCCGCAGCTGATTATAATCCTAAGTCCGCGTCTCTTCCTGGGACTCCTCGTCTTGGATTTTCTCAACTCCCCGTCTTTCAACCTCAACCTGGGTTTGTTTTCAATTTTTTAATATTATTTATTTTTATAAAACGTGTTTTTAATATTGGTCAACTTAAATATCTAATTTTAATTAAAGTTGTTTAAAAGAAAATAAAAATGAAGGGGTTTATTAATTTAATAATTGAGAAAAGAAAACAGGGCAGGTAGCATGGAGAAGGCTGGAGAAACTGCCCCAATTACCATATTCTATAATGGGACCGTTTCTGTTTTTGATCTGCCCCACGACAAGGTTTCTACTTGTTTACTATTTCTTCTATTTAACAAATATTGATCGTCTTTTGTGAATTACTGCGTCCGTTATAGTTTATGTACAACGATTTGACATAAAGCAGAGAGGAAAAATGTCTAATCGTTGCAGATAACTTGTAATGGAGGTAGTATATACAAGAAAAACATTACACGTATGTAATTAGGCCGTGTTGGTATGATAAACAATTGTGATTATGATTGACAGGCAGAGCACGTAATGAAGCTAGCAATGGAAAAGTATGGAAAAGTGTTGGATGAATCAAGTTTAATGTCACCCAAAATAAGTACTAATACTGAGAATATACAAGGATCACTAAGTGAGGATGGAGGTTAGTGGAGTATTAATCTACTTTTAATTATGATTTGGAGGTAATTAATTATTAATTAATTAAACATGCGTGTGTTAGTGTTTGAATTAAGATTCCTTAAAATGTTTGCATTAAAATGGGAATATGTTTGTTTATATGATGCTGATATGCCTATCAAACGTAAGAAATCACTTCAGAGGTTCTTTGAGAAGCGCAAAGAGAGGTTTTTTCATTCTTCTACTACTTGTTTTTATTATTCTTAAGTTATGCATGCACCTTTGAGATGGTTTGGTAGCTTCATAATAATAAGTTTGTGATTAAATTTAAGAAAAAAGTACAATTTATATCATATGAGTAGTTTTATACTCGGTATTATATTTTATGGGAATGGTTTTTTTGAAGGTAAGAAAAGGTAAATTAGTGAAATTGTATTTTGTTGGTTGATGAGAGAATAAATAATGGGATCACCTCCATAGGCCCATTATTGAAGTTGGAAGGAATACTTATTTCTGATTTTCATAAAAGAAGTAACGTGAATCATGTGAATATAAGAGTATATAATCAAATATTTGCTTATTTCATAATAAATAGATTATGAGAGTGAGGGATAACTCAAGTATTAATAGCTTCTCTTTCGAACATCCGATCAATTCTCACCCGTCTTTTGTGGCTCTCTAAACATCAAAAAATAAAAAATGATCATCATATTATTTTATTTGTGTTTGCTTATTATGAAATATCTTTAAGATCATAATTATAAGGTTAAAAACAATTTTCATATTAAAAAATTCATCAATGAGAATTTTAGGGCTTGTTCTCTTCGAGTCTTCGGCTTATTTTCAATTTAGTTCAGTTCAGTTCCTAATTTTCTTCTCTTATAAAATATTCATTTCAATTCAGCTCTAATCTGTTAAGTTCAATAAATCAAAACAGATCTGTAAACAATTTCATTTAATACAAATTAATCTAATTTCCTTACAAATTATACCCATAGTGCAATTAAATTTAAAATTTAATCTAATCATGAAATCGGATTATAGATTTATAATAGACTAAATCCAGTGAATTAAACATAATTTAAACTATCTTCATTTCATTTTAGTTTGATTACGTACCTTAGCTTTAATTTCACTGTTTTTTCACGGTATAATATTATTATATAATAAATACCCTTTATCAATTGGTATAGATTCATAAGGTGGTTATAATTTGATATACTTAGCCAATTAGAGTGCCCTCCTTTATTAATATTAATCGGTCAAACTTCTAAGTTCAATTCAACATACACAAAAGTTTTCTTTCTTTGTTTTCAACTAACCTAGCCTATACTCTAGTGCTGTCAAATTTCAAATCGAAACCGTTTAACTGCCCGAAATCGACCGACTCAAATGAGAACCGAACCGATTAAAAACCGATTTTTTTTAAAACCGAAAACCGACCCGAACCGTATTTTAGTAAACCCGAAACCGAATCGACCCAAATAATGTTAAACCGTATAAGAACCGAACCCGTTAACAAACCGAACCGAATATAAACCGAACTGAAAGAAAACCGAACCGAAAAAGAACCGAACCGTATCTAACCCAAAACCGGTTCCAACCCGAAACCGTTTAAACTGGCAAAAAAACCGCTTACACCGAACCGTTAGCAAACTGCTACCCGTTTGCACCAAACCATTTAAAAACCAAACTGGTTATAAACCAAACCGTTTATGAACCAAACCGCTTCTAAATCAAACCATTTAAAACTTTTTTATATAATTAAATGGATTTATTTTTTTTTTTATTTTTTTTTTTGACGGGGATATAATTAAATGGATTAAATATTAGAAATCTTAGAATATTTTTTTTAAAAATAGCAAGGCAAATCATTCATTAAGGTCTTAAGGATAATCAGTGTTCACAAACAAGAGAAAAACAAGCAGGCTCAGGCCCTGCCTCAAACTATTAGCAACACTACTGCCTCCAGTCATGTATACATTTGAGGTGATGAAACCAAATGAAGAAAAAATCTTGTAATATTAAGTACCAAGGCTTGGCTGAAGGCGTAATAAATAAAATTAATTCACATAGACTATTAAGCATATGATTACATTGATTTTGTGAGTAATAATGAAATAAAGATGAGAGTGTGCTAGTGACATGAATATACTATTAGGCTATGTTTTAATTCAGATTCAACTATAATTTAGTAAACTTAAAATGGAACCGATATGAATAACGTTAAAGTGGTTAAACAATCGAAGAACCGAACCAGTTATAAACTGAACTGAAAAAGAACTGAACCAATTAAAAACTGAACCGAAAAATAACGAACCAGTTATAAACTGAACCAAAAAAGAACCGAACTGTTTCTAACCCGAAACTGTTTGAACCGGGATAAAAACCGTTTACACCGCACCGTTAACAAACTGCAACCCGTCTGCATCGAACCGTTTACTACCCGGACTGTTTACAACCCGAACCGAATTAAAACCGCTTAAGAATAAACCGAAAACGAATCGAATCGATAACTATTTAAACCGAACCAAAACCGACCCGTGAGACAATTAAACCGATTCCAAACCGACCCGATTAAATACCAAACCGATTTTAAACCGAACCGAAACCGAACTGTTAAACCGTTTTGACAGTGCTACTATACTCCATTGACTAGAATTCGCTAAGATTGTTGTCTAGGAACAATTGGTGATAACAAACTAATAACAAATGGTTAATTAAAGTGCAAATAATTGAAACGAAGGATGGTAGGTCAGTAGATGGTTAGTCGCTTATGTATACTTTTAACTTTAGCATGGTGGTTCACTGGTTCAAATTTTATGAAGAAAGTGGGAGGGACCCTACAAGTATTACTTTATTTGGAATTAGTCTATGATAGACTGATAGTGGTGCATATCCTTACCTTATTTGTTATACTCCGTATTTTTTTTCGCAAAATAAAGCTTATAATCGACAAGATACATATAATTTGAGTCTATTTTTAAACACAAACTTTCCAAAAAAATCGTTTTGTACAATAATTATTGTACATTTATTATAAAGATAACCTAAAGTAATCAAAAGTTACCCATAAAATGAATAAAAATTACCCATAAAATGAATAAAAGTTACCCCAATATGCATAAAAGTAACCCAATACAAATAAAAAATTATTTACGTTTTATTAGTAAAGAATCACATTTTAAATGAATAAAAATCAATATTAATGATTGAATGTAATTAAACTATCTTTATAAAGTATAAACTACGAAGTATTACCCCAAAAAAAAAAGAGAAAAACCTACCTTTATAAAACTTTTTTTTGTTATCTATTTATATAAAAATTATATTATGTTTAAAGTTACCTAAAAAAAGGCAAAAAATGAACCTAAAATTAGCTAAAAGTTATACTCAATGTACACTACTATTAGTGTTAATGGGGTACATATAAAAGTTTTTCATTTTAAAAACAGTTACGTACATTTTGGTTTTACATGATAAAGATATTGCATAGACATAACAAATTAATATAATAATACTCTAAAAATTGAAAGAATCCACGTTTAAATTATTTATTGATTTGGGAAACTACTTGATTCTTTCCTGGAAAGCTTTTGGAAATAAGTCAAATAATGTGATTTGTCCATTATCTCTTAAGTATGAGTTGGTTGAGGTTGAGTGGGTCTTTCCCTTTGCTTGCAAATTACAATCATCAAAAGATTCAAAACTCTTCATCACATCTTCCTTTTATAGGATGCCATTCTTTAAGATTACCCGCAAAACTAGCATTCCCCGTACGATATTCTTTGCTTCCTGGCTCCTTTAAATGATGCTCGTACAAATTCTTGCCTGATTTTCCACAATATTTCCTTTTTTCATTCATACATTATGATGGTAGAGAATTTTTATTAATGTTGGACAATTTTCTTCATTAATCAATGGTGGGTACGTAACACAGTGTTGGGCTGTAGGCTTATGGCTCAATCTTATAGATGTATTTATCAAAATAGCAACATAAATAGATATTAACAAACCAACCGACTTCTAATACTTAAAAAACTCAATAATGCAAGTTTTTGATTTTTAGAGTAAGTCGAATTTTCATAAGCAATTCTCGAGGATCAACAGTAATATGCTATGCACCCGTAAGTTGTTAAAAGTGTTAGTCCGTGACATAATGTTTGAAACTAGTTCGGAAGAGGGCGGAACTAAGGAAGCAGTATTGTTTAATTGATGCAGGTTGGTGTCACCATATGCAAACATGGAACACATGGTTACCGGAGTCCACCAGCAAAAGACCTAAATTACTATGCAAATGTCACAGTTGAAGACAACAATGTTGATTACCCACGTCAATTATTTTGCCGTATTGTTTTTGTTATCTTATTTTCCAGAATTAACCAAACATTATCTTTCAATTCCCTGTATAAAAGTCGTCTTGCAACTTCCACCCTCTTTCTTTTTCTTATGGGAATTCTGCACGTGTTTATTTTATTTGTCGTATATTTAGCATTATTACGCATTTCGTATTAAGTATTATTTGTATAAAAAAAAATCTAGCTAGGTTCTATTCTAGACCAACCATCTAGTATAGAATTGACTATATAATTCGTACTGTATTTTAATTCGTTTAGCTTAATTAGTCAAACAATGGAGTGGGTGCTTCCTTATTAGCAATAATGATGTCTTTATTTATTTGATTGTTCAGTTATACTCCGTATTAATGCTTTATGTTTTAGTCACATTTCTCATTGACTTGGCCAACTAACTTTATGTTATAGACTTTGTTGAATAATTGAATTTTTATACTATTCTCCCATTGTTCTTTCTTATTTGTGGTCCTTTCAATTGTTTGATTGATGTATGTATCTGATTATTTGCGAAAAGACTGAAACCTTCAAATCAATACTTTGCATAATATTCACATTTAAATATTTAATACTTCCTTTGTTTCTTTTTAGTTGACGCCGATTGATTTAGGCACATACTCCCTCCGTCCCAAATTACTTGCATCACTTTCCTTATAAGGTCGTCTCAAATTACTTGCAACATTTCTATAAAAGGTATTGTCCCACTATTTTTTTAATATTTATCTCAAATATCAATGGCCCACTATTATTTCACTTTTGTAAAAAAATGATAAAAAATTTACACCCCCCCCACCCCCCCTACCCATATGTACCCCCTGATCTAATTTCACTTCACAGGCCACTTTCTTTCCTTCATATATTTTTTTTTATTTTACTTTTACTTTTGCAATTCACTTTCTCACTCCAAATTATTTTAACCCATTTTCAAGGTTCTTTCCATTCATCTTCTTCCCCAAATCATGAAACAAATTACTGTAGATTTGAGAAAAAATCTCATGGATAATACTGAAAAACATCAAATTAATCCTGATTTAGCTAAAAACAAAGATCAAGCTCATTCATCTACCCCAATTCTGATGTAATTGGGGTTTGGGTCGATGATTCTGTAGAACCATTTTCAATAGTTCCTGAAACTCCGCCAGACGTTCTCCACACTCGAGAGCGTGAAGTGACTACTCCACCGGACGTTTTTCTTCCAAGTGCGTTTTTTTCGGTAGAGCACGAAGAGTGAGTTGTTCCTAACACTCCAGAACGTGAAGTGGCTACCACTCCTGTGTGTGTAGCTCCAAAGCTAATTCGATGTAGTAGCGGACGTCAATTTAAAAATTCGATGTAGTGGCTACCACTATGGTGTTTGCCGGCAAAAATTAAAAAAGGAATCAAATTTTTTGGATTCACATGTTAGATGCACGTGTATCCAACAGCACACCCCCACCCCCCCCCCCCCCCCCCCACCCCCAAAAAAATGCTATGGCCCACTTCCACTAGCTATAATAAAAAAATGCCCACTACCAACTTACATACATTATAATAAATAAGTCAATTACTTTGCATAAAATCCAGCGCCAGTCAAACCGTTGCAACTAAACCGGGACGGAGGGAGTATATTAAAGAGAGGAGAAAGAGTGATAGAGAATGAAAAAGCAATTGGGTAGCTTGTAAATACATGGTAAATAAGTTACCCTAAAAGAAAACGTGTCAACTAAAAAAAACTTCTTGAAAAGGAATACATGTCAATTAAAAAGAAACAGATGTATTAATTAATATCTTGATTTTATTTGCGTGGCATATGCAAATATTTGATTAGAGAATATGACTTTAATTCATTAACTAAACACGATTGTCTGGCATATGCAAATATTTGATACATTCACCATATGCCATAAAAAACTTTCTAATACACCATATTGTCCATATACCAATCAATTTAACAACAATGTCACAATATGCCACAGTTCAATTCAGTTCTAATAAGGACCTGTTCTCTTCACATTATTATATAAGGGTATGTTCTCTTCAGATTATTTTTTCCGTTCTAATAAATTAAGTTAAGTTCTTAACTTCTCTCATAAAATATTTAGTTCAGTTAAGATCCAATAAGTCAATTCAACTCAAACCCTAAATGTCTAATACTAGTATTAAGCATTTTAGACTATATATGTCTAGTTTTAAATGCTCCTGGAGAGAAATTGAGTCCATAAATCCAATAAATAAGCTACATGATCTATGTCTAATATTGGTTGGGTTATAAACAAATTGCAGAACAACTATTAAATTCTAGATCCATTTAGACATTTATAAATGATAGATTGAGAGTAGAGGTGTCAATTCGAACGATCAAATCAAGTTACATCAATTCTTAAAGTTCAGTCAAACAAAATTATTAGGTCACACAAGGTCTAAAAACTACAAATCTACAAGTTTCGTGTGTAATATTGTGTATAGTCGTTCATCATATTACGATAAGTTTTCATTTAAGTCTTAATAGGAATAACCAATTCCTTAATTAAAAAAGCCCCCTGCCCCTCTATTAACCCTGTTATAATTCACTCTTATTATGGTTTAATTCATTTGCTACCAATGAACAAATTTGTAACAAAATATAATCAAATCAATTATACTTACATTATAATATCAGATTAATTAAAAAAAAAATATAGGTCTTGACCAGGCCCCCAAATCAGAGAAGTTCAGAGGGGGCAGACATGTCGACCTAAGCTTCACTCTCTGTGCACACTACCATGCTTCCTTCATCATTTTTTTATCCAGAGCATCGGCTTATTGTGCACAGTATTTTTTTAATTTAAATTATAAATAAAACAACTAATTAATTGATTAAATTGCTAATTATCTGTCATAAGAACAGATGAGGTTGATTATAGGAGCATCAGTTTTAAAAAGCTCGATTTTTGTAACATCATGCATTACAACTCAGTTGTTATATCATGTGTATCATCATCTGCTCACTAATTCATCACCCCCAGATCATAAAATTGGTTCGTTCAAATTAAATACTTTTATCAGGAAACATGAATTTAAACAATAAGAGTAAAGAAAGATGAGAAATTAAAAACCAGAAGAAAAAATTATAGAAGTAAGTAGAAAAATATAGAAAAAATGAAGATCGAAATGGAGAAATAGAAGAATTGAAGATGAAAGATTGAAACTTTACAGATGAACGATGAGGAAGTGAAGAAGAAGATGATCCCCATTTAAAGGCGGCCAAGTGAAACCCTAGATGGGGGTGGTGTATGCAATGGGCCGCGCCACCAAGTTTTTACAATATTGGGTTACTTGCTAGCTCAGTGGGCCTGGCTTAATTTCAGCCTAAACTCAAAACCTTTTTTATTTAGCATTTTAGCCTAATTAGTAAATATGTCTATTGGGGTGTGGACATGAACAAAATTGATCACCTTTCACCAACAAGTTTTATGATCCCGAAAGACACCTCACACATTTACTTTACTTTAGGAACAATTTCTTGAAATTGATCTGAAAGTGTTGGAATATAGCCTTTGATTTTGGACATATTTTGAATTTTTCTGTGTTCATAAAAGGTTGGAAGTCAGAGTTCTTCCACGGACCTCACAAAGACCATGGAAGCCCATATGCATGGAGAGCTAGAAATGTTTATCTTGTCTTTAAAATGACAAATTAGCCGATTAGTATACACCTTCTTTCGTTAGCTCAAAGACATGATCCACATGCCTTTATGTTACCAAATGGTTAGAAAGAGAACGTCCATATGCCTTTCGTTAGTTTTATATGTTCGACCTTCTCCAAAAGTACATTTTTTTTTTTATTAAGGCACCTTTCAATATATATTTTTGGTTTTGCGCCCTGCAAGTGTTGGTCAGATATGGTTCTAAATAACATCATATGGTATGAATGTATGACCCTAAGGGTGTCTCCCTTGTAATTACTTGAGTTTTTGACATAAGGTCCTAGCTTTGAATATTTGAGATTGATCAGATTTCATTGGTGAATTATACGGAGTATTATTCACTTCAAAAATAACATTCGGAAAGTCATTTCCTGACACATTAATAGAAGGCCCGTTGTTAGGAAAGATTAGGAGCATATCTTTTATATGTATCATATATTATAGTTACCTTAATTATAGGCTTAATTGACTCAAGATAGTATTTAGAATATCTTGTGATATTATCTTAGGAAGCTATGTACTCTATTTATATCTTTTGAGATCAATGAGAAGGATTCAAGCTTTCAGCCCTAAACAATTCATGCAGGAACCAAGAAAAGAACACTGGGAAGTAGCTCTGCGAGCTGTTAGATATCTGAAAGGCACTATAGGTCAAGGTATTTTGTTACGATCTGATAGTGAACTCACTTTGCAGGGTTGGTGTGATTCAGACTAGGCTACATGTCCCTTAACACGCAAAGCTTTGACAGGATGACTAGTTTTCTAGGCTACTCGCCTATTTCATGGAAGACCAAAAAGCAACCAATTGTTGCTACAAGTTCGTCGGATGCAGAGTATCGCTCCATGCATGCCATAACTTGTGAATTAAAGTGGTTGAAGGGTCTTCTTTCGAGCTTAGGTGTACATCATACCAAAGCTATAAAATTATTCTGCGATAGTTAGTCTGCATTGTACATTGCGAAGAACCCGGTGTTTCACGAACGAACAAAGCATATTGAAGTTGACTGTCACTTTATTTGGGATGCTATCATAGATGGTCTCATTGATCCCTCCTATGTTCCTACTCATGCCCAACTGGCCGATATCTTCACTAAAGCATTGGGCAAATCGCAATTTGAGCATCTCCTTCCCAAGTTGGGCGTCTTTAGTCCACCCGCTCCAACTTGAGAGGGGGAGGGGTGTTAGGAAAGATTAGGAGCATATCTTTTATATGTATCATATATTATAGTTTTCTTAACTATAAGCTTAATTGACTCAAGATAATATTTAGAATATCTTATGATATTATTTTAGGAAGCTATGTACTCTATTTATATGTGTTTGAGATCAGTGAGAAGGATTCAAGCTTTGAGCCCTAAACAATTTATCACCCGTCCTCGAGATTTCAAGTTGATCAATGATTTGACAATTTAAAGAAAGAAATAGCTTCTCTAATAATGTATTTTGTCATGTAAAAAATATATTAAAACCCTTTAAAAAAAAAGAAATTTAATTTATGAATGATAAAAGTTGATACTTCCTCTGTTTTTTTAATGAGGTACATTCAAATTTGCACATTTATCGAGACACCAAAAAATAAATTTATAAAAGTAGACATTATGCCAAATTCGACAACATATTATTGTATATGATCATATTTATATACTACATCCATTACAAATTATTTGCAACGATTTGACAAAGTACAGAGGAAAAATGTCTAATCGTTGTAAATATTATCTAACGGAGTTAGTATATTATAATAGTATACTAGTATTAGTTTAATTTGTCTACTTTGGGATTTTTTTTTTATGATTTAGAAGTAAAAAAAAAGTGTTCGAGTATCAATTTGAGACAATTAGGGGTTGTTTGGTTGACAAATAAAAACATGGGAAGTTGTAAATCCTAGAAATTGAAATTCTTTGAGGTTGCGTTTGGATATGCGGATTTCATTTCAAATAATAAAATTCAAATTCCGAAATTGAAATTCTACATTTCAAATTCAAATCATTTGTTTGGGAAATATGATAATTTCAAATTTAGGATTTCAAATTCAAATACTTGTTTGGGAAACAAGAGAATTTCAATTCTAGAATTTTAAATTCTAGTTGTTGTTTAATTTGGGAAACAATGGAATTCCAAATTCTAAATTTCAATACCTAAGTTCCAACTTAACTCTAATTATCTCTTAACTTACAACACTACTACTCATCAATACACAAAATGATCCAATATAATTTTTGATCATCGGGTAAATTTTTCAGCATGTCAAATTCCTCCAATGTGCCATTTAAGAATCTCTTAACCGCCCTCAAAGCTTGGTGTCGAGATATTCCAAGTACACTAGACACTTCCTTGTAGATTTCTTGACTAGTTGGCCTTGTTGATTTACTCACGTATTCCTTGAAAGATTCAGCAAAGCTACTCACAGCATCTGCAAGACGATCCTTTTTTAACCTTTTGTTTGAATCTCCGGAAGCCGTTTCTGATGTACTTGCATTATCATTTTCATTCTCCATTGCTGCAGCAGCTTCTTCATGTTGCTCAGCCACATCTCCTATTGCTCTATCAGGTGCAAACAAGGTACAAATGTCATCCCAATTCTCGATGCATTTGTTTTGATACGCAGATACTGCAGGCGTTTCCTGTTAACAAAAGAAGATTATACAAATTCAGATTACAAATGCCATATTCTAAGTATCGCAGTAACAGGGAAGTATAGCAGTAACAGGGCATTATAGCAGTAACAGGGCAACAGTATAGCAGTATTGCAGAATAGCAGTAACTTTGAACCACTTAACTCAGAACTTTTGTTCTTGTTGAGCAAATAACTGATAATTGCAAGTTGTAAACCATTCCTCCTCACTGGATAAAAGTCAATTGCTAGCCTTTAACATCTATTGATTTCAACACTTTTATAATATTATGATTGTTTTTTGTATAAAATGGGTTGACATTGATTACATAATATTATAATTTTCCTACAATATGTCATAATATTAAAGCAGTTAGGCAAAAAAATATGTTCTGGTAGACTTTGAGAAGATTGGAAGAGAAAATGATAGAACCGATGTAATCATACTTAATGTTGCTATAAGACAAACAAATCAAAAACTTTTTTCAAGGTAATACAACAGAACAGGTGATCAGGCTCGGTGCTGCATATATTCAGCAATCTTAATAATATTAAAATGCAGCATATATTATCAGATTAAAATGCAGCATACATTCAGCAATCTTAATAAGATTAAAATGCAGCATACATTGTAAGATCAAAATGCAGCATACATTCAGCAATCCTGATAAGATTAAAATGCAGAAATTGATACAAAAGATTCCTAACATACCAATTGCATGAATCCTAAAATTTTTGAACAAAACTATTTGCCATGTTAAGTGTTAAAACTATCTGCCATGGCTCTCAGCTAAGTTTGAACAAAACTATTGTGATAATACCATTTTTCCAATCAAAAAATGATAATTCACCCAAACATCAGCTAAAATCAGTCCCAAAGTCACAAGCTCAATGAAAAATATACTTTACCCAAACTTCAGCTAAAATCAGTCCCAAAGTCACAAGCTCAATGAAAAATATACTTTACCCAAACATCAGCTAATTACAGTATTAGAAACTTATATGAGTACAAAATCAAGAAGACTTCGGAATGCATACCATACAATATACATGCCATGCTTGAAGGTCTTCTACGGGGATCACTATCATCTTCTTTTTATCATCCCACTTAAACTTTGTATAAGTTGTGATATCATTGATGACCGAATGATGTTTCTTCCAAACCTTGATCCGATTCTTCACTTGATCCATGGTGACTAAGATGCCCAATTGTTTCCTCACGTTATCCACTGCAGCTTGATATGCTTGCGATTTGAATTCTCCATCACCTTTATTTCCCTCATTAATCTGCTCAAACAATGTTTTAGTGAGTACACCATCCATTTGTGTATTCCAACTTGTATAGTTTATTCTTTGTGATTGTGAAGGTGCCATAGGCTCTTTCCCAGATCTCCTCATAATGTATGATGTTCAGAGGTCCTGTAGACAAGAAAATAAAAATAAAAAATCAAATCAACACTTGTACTAATGCTAAAACTAAAATGACAAGAAGAAAGGCAAACAAATTTTATGACAAGAATAAAGGCAAACTAGTTTTATGACAAGAAGAAAGGCAAACTCGTTTTATGACAAGAATAAAGGCAAACTAGTTTTAAGACAAACCATACATAGTACACAAATTTCTCATTACATAATAAATAGTTTTATGACAAACCATAAATAATACACAAATGTCTCATTACAACTAAAACCCATGTAGCTTGACCCCTTCGTGCCATATATTCTTGAAACATCTTCTTAGCAAGGTCATCTCTAAATTTGTTCCACTCATTTGTTGTTCGGGCGGATAAAATGTAGTCTTCTTCTACCTCTTCCTCATCTATTGCTTCCATATTTATCAAGTCATGGTCCATCTCTTGCATAAGACTCGTTTCCTCCATGTTTTCTTCCCTTAGAAAATTATGTAGGATAAAGCAAGCATTGATAATTCTTACTTGAATTTTTTTTGGAAAAAAGCTAGAATTTCTTAAAATGCTCCAACGCTTCTTTAACAACCCAAATGCCCTTTCAATGGTATTTCGAGCAGATGAGTGTCACAAGTTAAAAAGCTCCTTTTCATTTGTAGGAGTGTTTCCTCTCCACAAGTTTAAATGGTATCTAGTACCTTTGTAAGGAGCTAGGAAACCTTCGGCATTAGAATATCCTAAATCAACAAGAAGATACTTATCTGCAATCAGAGAATGTTAACATTTTAATTATACATTCAAACTCACATAACCCAATCTTTATACAAAATAATAAAATATATATATATGTTCTTACTTTTAGGCACTTTAAGACCATTAGGCCTACGAAGAGCATCCCGAAGGACACGAGGATCCGATGCGGATCCTTCCCAACCAGGTAGCACATATGTGAATCGAAGGTTAGGATCACAAGTGGCTAGTACATTAGTGCTAAGGTTCTTTTTCCTATCTCGATAGCGAGGTCGATCCTCAATTGGCACAATCATATCAATATGTGTCCCATCAAGAGCTCCTATAACACCTTCGAACCACTTCCATTTATTATCATCAGCATAACTAGTAGTGTGATCGGCTTGTTTGATGTAATATTTCCCTAACTTGAGCATGGATGCAAGAACTACATGAAATTGACGACTAATAGTCTCCTCGGATCGTGCAAAGAGGGCTTGCATTGTTCTATTTTTCAAATCATGCGCAAGGGTATGAAGAAATAAAGCCACAATTTCTTTTATCGTGACATTTCTCGTGGTCTTTAGCCCACCTTTAGTTTGTAATACATGACATAGCTTCTCAAAACAACGTATATCGAGACGTAATTGCTCTCGACATATCCTATCATTCCTCAAAGTGTTCATCCATGTAGCTCTTGTTCTAGAACGCTCGGATTCATTCCATGCTATCTCCTTTAATCTATATTTCTTACCATACCATGCTCCTACTACTACCATAATAAAACCTAAAACCATCACAACTAAGTCCATTTCATCATCATCATCCCTTGGGCGCTTACGTGACTCTTGTATATTCAAATCAGACATCCTAAAACATTCATTCCAGACTATAAGACTATAAGTTCAGACCACACAAAACATAGCATCAAATTTAAAGCTACAATTTAAAGTTCAGACCACACAGAACCCCTTAAATTTGATGATATAAGGAGCAACATACAACAACATACAAGCAGAATTCAAACAAGCAGCAACATACAAGCATCTTTTAAACATAACCTACCAAATTTAAATAATACTTGAATGATGGAAATTAATATGATGTTTGAATTCTGCATCAAACATAACATACAAGTTCATACAAGCAGCATCATACAAGTTCATAATCAAAGTATTACAGCAACATATAAGCAGAATTCAAACATGCAGCAACATATAGGTCTTTTAAATAATAAAAACAGAAATTAAAGCATTAAAATATGAAACAGAAATTGATATGAAATTACAAGTTCATACAAGCAGCAACATATAACAACAAATCACGCATTAAAATATGAAATTGAACAACCAAATTGCAAATTAAACAACAAATCAACTATTTCTATAATAAAAAGAAACAAAAACACAAATTGTACCACATAATCGATAAACCCTAGATTATGAAATTGATATTCGATTAGTTAAAAAGAACTACCTCAGAAACTAATTCAATGGAGGATAAAAGCTCACAAGCCGGTTCAATGATGGATGCTCACACGCCGACAATCGAGCTGCTTCAATGGAGATGGAGGATCGAGAAAATCGAGCTGCTTCAATGGAGATGGAGAAAATATCGGGCAAGCTCTTCAATGGAGGAGAGAGAAAATCAAGCTGCTTCAATTGAGATGGAGGATCGAGCTGCTTCAATGGAGATGGAGGATCGAGAAAATCGAGCATCAAATAGGGAATAGAGTATGAAAGAGAAAATTAGGGCAAGTGGAGGATTTGAAATGGCAATATGTGAGATGGAATTTGAAAGTAATTGAGTTGGACTTAATTTTGTAAAGGCTTGGATTTGCATGGATTTGGCCCAAATACAAATCCAAATGCTTGCATTATCCAAATAGGCTATTTGGCCCAAATGAGAATTTCAAATGAAATCCCCATATCCAAACAGACCATGAAGTTGTTTGGTTGACAAATTCATGGGAAGTAGAAATTTCCATGAATTTCCACTTTCCACAAAATGGGGGAAGTTCCCTTGGGAATTTCTACTTTCCTTAGTTAACCAAACACTTTTTAGAATTTCGGGAAATCAATTTCCTAAAGAATTCCTACCTTCAACTAAACGAGGCCTTATGTTAATTCCTTGTGTCCCAGTCTCACTCTCCAAAAATCCAAATCAAAAAAGTTATCTTTAGTCGTTGAATTGCAAGGCGTATGATTAAATTGTTGCGCCAAACTGCGGTGCGACTGCCATGGATGAAGAAGAACAACCCATCTTCATTCATTTCAAAAGGGCAAGGGTTTTCAGCCCAAGCTGCTCTACAAAATGGAGATTACTACTTCATAGATTATGCAAACCCAGCAACTTCTTCCCCATTTGAGGAGCTCAATTCCCATTTTTATGGAAGATCGATTCAGGAATGTTTATTAACTCACGACATTATCAAAGGTCAAGCTTTACACTGTCAAATTCTCAAGAAAGGTAATTGTCTTGACCTTTTTGCCCAAAATGTTTTGCTTAATTTTTATGTCAAATCTGACCTTCTTCCTGATGCATGTAAACTGTTTGATGAAATGCCTGAGAGAGATACCATTTCATTGGTTACTTTGATTCAGGGGCTTGGTAAAGCTGGTCGCTTTACTGACGCTCTGGGGTTTTTCTCTGTGCTTCATAGGGATGGCCATGAGATGAATCCCTTTGTATTTACTACTGTTTTGAAATTGTTTGTTAGTATGGAACGGCCGGAATTGGGTTGGAATATTCATGCTTGTATTTATAAGCTTGGACAAGATTGTAATGCGTTTGTGGGTACTGCTCTTATTGATTCCTATTCCATGTGTGGGCTTGTGGATATCGCGAAGGATGTCTTTGATGGGATTTTATGCAAAGACATGATTTCTTGGAGTGGAATGGTTGCTGGCTATGTTGAGAATGATTGCTTTGAGGAGGCTTTGCGACTTTATTTGGAGATGCGGATGGTGGGATTCATGCCCAACAATTTTACTTTAGCTAGTGGCTTGAAGGCTTGCATTGGTTTGGGGGCAGTGTGTTCTGCTAAGAGTATTCATGGGTGTGCTTTAAAGACTGGTTTTGAGAAGGACAACTATGTTGGCATTGCTTTACTTGGCTTGTACACTAAATTTAGCGACTTTAGTGAAGCTGAGTTAGTATTTAAAGATATGCCAAAAAAGGATGTGATCCCATGGAGCTTCATGATTACGCACTGTGCACAGACTGACCAGAGTGATTTGGCTGTTGATATATTTCATCAGATGAGGAAAGCTTTTGTCATGCCTAATGAGTTTACTCTTGCTAGTTTATTGCAAGCTTGTGCAAGCATGGCCTGTTTGAATATGGGGAAGCAAATGCATTGCATTGTCATGAAGGTTGGCCTTGATTCTAATGTATTTGTCTCTAATGCCCTTATGGACGTTTATGCAAAGTGTGAAAGGATTGAGGACTCTTTGGTATTGTTTGAGGCCTCGGCAAACAAAAATGATGTCACCTGGAACACTATGATTGTCGGCTATGGCCAATTAGGGGATGGCGAGAGAGCATTGATAATGTTTAAGGGTATGCTTGAGCACAACGTGCTGCCAACTGAGGTTACATATTCTAGTACGCTTCGTGCTTGTGCCAGCTTAGCGACAATTGATCCTGGAATGCAGATACATGCTTTTACCATTAAAACAAAATTTGACAAAGATAGTGTAGTCGGTAATTCATTAATAGATATGTATGCCAAGTGTGGAAACATCAAGCCTGCTCGTTTAATATTTGATACAATGGGAAAGTGGGATGAAGTTTCATGGAATACTATTATTTCAGCATATGCAATGCATGGCCTTGGAAAGGAGGCACTAATAATGTTTGACAGGATGCAGGGAACAGACTGTAAGCCAAACAAGTTAACTTTTGTTGGTGTTCTTTCAGCTTGCAGCAACATGGGACTATTAGATGAGGGACAAACTTATTTCACCTCAATGATCAGTGATTATGGAATAGAACCATGCATAGAGCATTACACATGTATGGTTTGGCTTTTGGGGAGATCAGGGAATCTTGATAAGGCTATGGAACTGATTAGGGAAATGCCATTTGAACCTAGTATCATGATATGGCGTGCTGTTCTTGGAGCATGTGTCATACACAAGAATGTTGAGCTTGGAAAACTTGCTGCTGAACATGTGCTTGAAATGGATCCACAAGACGAGACAGCTTATGTATTACTATCAAACATTTATGCCTCGCTAAAGAGATGGGGGCATGTAGCTCATGTCAGGAAAAGCATGAAAAATAAAGGAGTCAAGAAAGAACCAGGATTGAGCTGGGTCGAGATACAAGGTGAGACACATTTCTTCACTGTAGGTGATACATCACATCCTGATATCCGGTTAATAAAGGGGATGCTTGAATGGTTGAAGATGAAAGTCAATAGAGAAGGATATATTGCTAATTGCAATGTGATTCTGCTCGATGTAGAAGATGAAGAAAAAGAGCGCCTCGTGTGGTCGCACAGTGAAAGACTAGCTTTGGCCTTTGCTTTAGTTAGGACACCATTGGGTAGTCCTGTGCGTATACTTAAAAATCTCCGAATATGTGCAGATTGCCATGCGGCAGTTAAGCTTATATCAAAGGTTGTTCAGCGAGAAATTGTCGTCCGAGATATAAATCGGTTCCACCACTTTGAGGATGGCATCTGCTCCTGTGGTGATTATTGGTGAACCCTTGTAGAGCTACGAGTTTTAAACACTACATGTTTTATCTTTTGCACCGGTCACACAATTGAAAAGAATATGTAGCCTGAAATTTTCTTTCATTGATGGAACATCATCTGGCCATCTACATAAGTTGATATGGAGTTAGATCAAGCTGATTTCAGATGCTCGTCAAAATTTTCAAGTCACCAGTATGGTAAGTTCCTGCTAGTGCTTCTTAGAGTCTTAGCTGTTGCTGGTGCAAAATATATGTCTGCAGGATATGATATTGTATTTCTTTGAGGTTTTTTGTTTTCCAGCTCTCCATCTAGTTTAGTCTATATAGTTGTAAGGTTGCATACATTTTTGTTTTGGCAGTTGGTCGTCATTGTCATTATTGTTGTTGATTGAGATTTGTCCTGGTTCAAGTACACATGGTCGATACTCTAACATGTCTTGGTTGCTCTCAATGAAACAATCTTGGCTTGCTTTGGTTGCACTTGAATTTGCTTGTACCATGACTCCATGAGTTGCACTTTTTCAGAAATAGATTTCTCATTAGTGCTTGCAAGTAAATGCTGCTCTTCATAGATGAGAAAATTGTAACTTATTGACGGGATTCTAGATAGTTGATTAATATCCTTGTGAAGCAAGCTTTATATTTTGGATCTAAGAGGTACTTAAAATCTTGGATAGTATATGGAAATCTCTATATAGTTTCTTGTCAACTTAAGAGAGACCATAATATATTAGAGGTTTCCATTTTGTGATTGCAAATGGTAAATATAATATTCTAGATTTTGATCGATTAGTTTGCCATCATTTGGAAAAACTCATTCTCAAATATTTAGAGACCAACTAGTAGGTCGTATATGGCTCTAACCCAACTTTTATGATGCTAAACCAACCAATGCTACCAATTTTAATAAATTGGTCAAATTAGTTCGTGTAGCTGACCTCATTTATGGGATTAAGGCTTTGATTGATTGATAGATTTTGTGAACATGAAATGAACATGAGACCAAATACGAACACGACACAATACGACTTTTTTTCCAGCTCTATTTGCGACCCACTAGTGTCTGTTTTTTGCCAAAACAACCATTTATGACCTCCGGAGGGCTCCATCACATCATATTTTGACCTAGAGTCTTGAAAATCTCCAAAAAGAATCCTATCTTGTGCTGAACCTTCAAATTTGCTACTGGATAACTTTTTTGGACATTGAGGTGATTCTCATGGTTCCCACGGGACCTCGAGAGGCCTATTTGGTGGTGGTTTCCCAATTGGAACCACTAATTCATGCCTTGGCCCATGACTTTGCTTTGTGCCCCTGCCTTGTCTTGACTGTACCAATTTTATATATTTCATTGTTTATAGATTATTTCTTGAGCAACCTTAGACTTCTAAAGTTTAGACTTTGACATGTTCTAGTTATTTGGTAGAACTATATGGATCATAGATTCTTTGTGCTGCCCCATCTTAATTTTATAGTCCACTTTGAACATGTGACTACAGATTTCCAAGTGGAGTAATTTTTAAGGCAATTGCTTATGTACTTATAGCTCATATTCTGGCCTTTATATCGAGGGTCAGGCACCTCTAAAATCCAGATTAAGTATGTCTGTATATACTACAAGCATTATGAATGATTATTCTCCATGAATGTAAAGCAAAAGTTATGGTTTGATCAGTGATGCAGAATATAGTATGACGGACAAAATAAGGAATAAGATGACTTGAATTAAAAGATGTAGAAAAAAAAAAATTGAATTAAGCTACAAAGAAAGCTACAATCTTGTAGTACTCTCATTTGCTTATTATACAAATTCCTCATATATTTTATTTCTTTTCCCATTTTTCCTATTTATTTATCGAACTGCTCCTGTTCTTGGTATGCAGGCCATTGGAGACCTATGTCTTTTATTTAGCGGCAACTCTATGCACTTATCATTGTCCCCATTCTTTCCTTGACACTTTAGTAATGACTGACTCTGTGCATAGTTGTTTTCCATTTTCATTCCTATGTTTGATATTGACAGTGGATGATTAAAATGCAAATTCAGATGATGCAGCAGAGCCATCTTTTTGAAGACGAGTCCATCTTTCATCCCATTGGACTAAAGATACGCTCTGAAGCTATTTAAAATGGGCATGAATATGTGAAGGCGATCAATTCCTCTTTAGAAAACTTAAAGTTTCATGAATCCCGCAGTGTTTTATAGCTCCTTAGCAGCATGTCTCTTGATTTAGGTGTTACTTGAAGTTCCCATTATCAAGAGACTACAGGTACTACTCTTATCTCAGCTAATTTGAACTTTTTATGCCCAAGATATGGTTCATTGAGTCTCTAATGGATACTCTTTGTGTGCTGTCTAAAATTAAACATCCATGCGCCTTCTTTTAAGTTTTAATTTTTGCATTCTATGGTTTCTGGTAAGTGGTATTTAATATCTATCAACTGATTTTTTGTAGATTTTTTCTCCTCTGTGTGAGTTTTAAAGTAATTATTTCCAGAATAGGTATCTATCTTGATTATAAATTTATAATGCAGTAGGTAGTATACTGTGTAACTTTTAGCAAACTGGCATAAGAGTATGTGTGTAGCCTTGTCCTGCCTAGAGTTTCCTAGTATCTGATATTGTTCTTATTGATCTTAGTTGGCAGGGCCGCAGGGTAAAAAGATTAAATGCTACTTTTTGCCTTGATTATGACAAAGCTATAAGGAGTAGACCGATGACTTTAGTCACTTTGGGGCATTATTTGAGAGATATAAAATATTTCGAAGTTGCAACTCAAAAAAATCGGTGGTAGTACCTGAGGAGAAATACCAAAAATATATACAAGCTAGCATATATCTTTTCGATCTCTGATATTGTCTTAAGCCCCCAACTGCCTAAGCTCTTAGACACTAAGTGACTTTATGCCATAACCTATCAATATATTATAATAGTGGGTACTGGTCCACACATAGCCATCATGGCATTTTGCTAAATGCAACAAATTTCTTTCCCTTCGCCCTTCCAAAATGCTTGAAACGAATTTGCAATCCATTCGTGATTTCAAGGGCAAACCCATTCCTCTCTATGTAACAACAAGATCAAAGCCTTATTCCCAAAAGTATGGAATCGGCTATATGAACCTAGACTCCATCTCATGTTGTTCTTCCATTCACTTCTATTAGTGCTTCATGGTCTTACAAATCCACTTTTTTTATATCATTTTAAATCCTTCTGTCCAAGTCATCTCTGGTCTTCCTTGCCTTTGATTGTCGTTACACTCTATTTTAGCCACCCAAACATAATTCTATGAGTTATATCCTGGTTAATATCTTCATTTCTTTGGGAAATAAAACATGGAGGCACTAAAACCATTCACTAGAGGTTAGTTCATTATGATTTAATGGCACAACATTCTCACTCTGCCACTTCCAACACTAAACTGTCATTTCTTGTATCCCCGTAGGTTTTAACTTTTGTGTCCATCGCTTTAATATACTCCCTCCGTATTTTATTACTTGCTCCATTTTTCCATGCACAGAGATTTAGGAGAAAAAGTAAAAAGTAATAAAATATGAAGGAAGTGGGGTTGGTGGAAGAATAAAGTATGATAGTTGGGAGGAGAGAGAATCTTGAAATCTTAAAATATGATAGTCGGGGGGTCCACTAGAAGAGAAGAAATTGGTGAAATATTGTGAAAGGTTTCCAAAAAAGGAAATGAAGCAAGTAATAAAATACAGAGGGAGTGCAACTTTCATAGTTCTGTTCTCATCTACTAATACAATATCATCTTCTAACAACAAACACCAGACAGGCCTTGTTATTTTGCCCAAAACTACTGCAAAGTGAAAAGGACTTGGGCCGGATACCAGGTGAATCTAATGGTAATAGAAAAATCCTCCGTCACTCATCCACATTTGTTTTCACATGTCAATACATATCCTTAAATAGGTTGTATACTTACATGGTATTCCCTTCGTTGTCATTGCCACCAAACCACCTTTCACAGGACCTTGTCATACACCCTCTTCAAATCAATAAAGACTGTAAATCCTTCTTACTTTACATATGTTATTTGTCTCATAAGATTAGAAGCTTCTCTAGTGGATTGTCGTGGCATAAACTGGAAGTGATTGTCCAATACATCAGCGAATTTCCTCACTTTATTTACCACTCTCTCCTAAAATTTCATATTATGACTTAATGAAATTTAATGATGGCAAAAAATTGAAGGGGTGGGCATGGTCCGGGTGGTCTCTCAATGGTTTTGCCCCCTCTTCTATATTTCTGGTACTACAAGGTACACCAGTCCTTGCATCATCATTTCTGTGGGAAGGTAGTAAGCATTCTTTTCAATGACATCCAATGACCTTATCGCTATCCTTTGATCCAAAGAAATTGATTTATAACATTAATTCTATATATCTTTTTTTTCCTCTTGATTTGGTATTCCATGATCTACATATATTGTGTTAACTACAATACAGAATGTAAGACATTCTTCTTCCCTCAATTCTTACTTCTGTATTATACAATCCATCCAGGTCTTCCTTGGGTCTACCTTGACTTCTTTTCATGTATACATCATCAAATCATCTCCTAATGTTGGCACTGGATCTGTCTATTTGACCTTGTAGTCTTTGCTAACTGTAATTGCAGCATACTTTATGTAATTTGTATTGATTAATTAGGATGCATACAACTTTCCATCATATCAGCAAGCGTGGCAACTTGCAAGTATGGAGTACTGATGATGTGTTTTTATGAAATATTGTTATTAACTTAATCCAATGTTCATCACTGCCCCTGTAAAAACATTTATTGCATCATGGCTTTGTCAAAATTTCAACTCATTTGATTTTCATGATCTCATCATACCCCGCCACTGTTGGAATACTGGAATGTGTATTGATAGTGTCAATGTAATTAACGGTGCAGAGTAAATGCTTAATGCAGGTTCAAATTAGCACTCAAATATTGAAGGGGCATTTTTAAGTATTAGCATAGAAATGGGTGGTGGTTCTGTTGGCTAATACATATGATGATGTTAGCTTATTTCTTGCCTTAAAACATTTATTGTTGGGATGTAATGAGCAATAATAATGCAAGAAATGAACTATACCAATTTTACATGGCTGGGGCCACATGGAGAGTTTTTGAGGAATTATAGTCATCAAGTCATGTACAACTCAAGAGTCAAACCATGATTCATTTACTGTTGTGGGATGCCAAAGAATTGCTTGTTATTCTGGGTTTTGTTGTTTCGGGTTTTAGCTCAGACTCCAGAGACTGTTGTTCAAAATTTTATTTTTCTTTAAAATTATTTATCTTTAAAATTATTTTTCTTTCACTACTAGTCTAACTTTGATATGTCTGGTTTCCATTTATACATTTTCATAGCTGCTTTTGGCTTCTATAAATGAATTAATACTTTTGCAAACCTTATCCTTTATCAGAGCTAAGGAGCTCAATTCTGGTGGGCTTGTTGGTAATTAAAATGGGTTATCCTAATTCCTATCTAGAGAATGTTTAAACCAGAGTTAAGTTGCTGATGAATTAGTTGATTTATGGATTTAAATTTCCTTCGCTGAGTTTATGTTGCTGAGTGGTGGCAGAATTAAAAATGTATATGTTTATTTTTTGAGCTGAAATGTGAGTTGCTGAAATGATGGTGATAACTAAGCTGCTTTACTTAATTCTATTAACTGCAGGTGATTATGAATGGAGTCTGGAAGACGGGAAACGTTCCTTACCAGGTAACATTTCAGGAATTCCCCCTTTGATCCTTCATCTGCTTCTGTGTTATAGATATCAGAAACAGGGTGTCTTTCACTTTCTTTCCTTCCTGCCTAATCCCTTAGACCTGTAGAGGCTTTAAGTCTTGTGTTATTGTGAACTTGAGAGCTTAAATTACCCGGATGCTCATTTGAAGTACATGTTGCATAACCAAATATCTAACTTTTCATAGATGGAGATAATGCATGCTGTAGAAATTAAAAGATGCCTTATCTTATTAGCTTTTTAGTATTTCAGTTAGGATGCCTGAGTTACTTTCCATACCATGTATCTGTTCTTTCATGTAATTTTCTCTCTTAATATCACAACTTTCATGTTTCTTGTTGTCTTTTCTTGCTTAAAAACCCCTAGGCTAATGTAGATTGTGTTACTGATGCTCTGAATCTGTTGAGTGCTACCTTGATTCTGCAATCAACATAGATTTTCACACTGAAGAATTCAATAGGGAGCCAAGTAACTATTCTTTTCTTTTTCTCTTCCTGTTATCTTGAAAATGGAGTTAGGAGCCTTTTTCAGAGTATTATGGTGCTGTATTGAACTGAATAGAAAAGCATAATCAGGAGTTTATTTGAGCCATGGAGGTAGGTTAAACCTTTTGTCTATGATAATCTGAAGCATGCCGTAGATCCACGTCCCATTTGATTAAAGACGTATATTTTAGTTGTGGTGCTGGAGGGAGAACATACTTGGCTTTTTTGAGATACTTTCTAGTTTATATTCTTCGTTCAAAAGTGTCCCAAGTGTCATGCACATGTCTGGCCATCTGTGTGTCCTTACTGGGGGTCTAGTGGAAGATCTTTAATTATTATAGTCAATCAAACAATCAATCAATCAAAACCTTAATCCCATAAGTGGGGCCGGCTACATGAACCAAAAGTGATTATTCCGTATAGTCATCCATTTTCAATTATTATAGTCATCTCATATATTCTCAAGGGATTAGATTCGCTTGCTATAACATCACAGATTTTGCAATTATATGCAAACTTAAAGCAGTGGAAATTTATTTGTCGGATTTAGTACTCAGTTACGTATTGTAGTAGACGCAGCCCAAGTTTGACAATGATACTCTAAGGAGAGTTAGGTGACCCATCACTTGAAGTGCTACATGATGTGATATTTGTGGTGTTATTTAGTGCATCTACGTTCATTGAACTTTTGACTTTAACGATTTTTATCTTGTTGATTACATTGTCCGCACTAACTGACTAACGGAGTTTAACATGTCTTACGACAATTTAATGCAGTATTCCATTGCTTAAATCATTCTCTGTGGGACTATAAAGTTGGAGTCTAGTCTCTGTCTTTTTTGTTCTCTTGCTTGGATAAGTTGGATTTGGAAATTGAGTTTGGTGCTCATGCCCCTTTAGGTGAAAGAGTATAGGAAATTAGTAATATGCAAAGGCACAGATGTGACATGCAGTTTCCTTGATATCTGTAGTGGATCAGCAGTGGAAATTAAAGAGTACTAAACATCATTTTCACTGACAATGAATCAATTTTCAAAAGACTACTCTCAGTTTTTTCTCTCATTATACTATGAAGTGCACATAGCAATCATGGTTGGCCAAAATGATCCTGCCACTGGCGAGGTTGTGGGTTTTCCTGTTATGTAGATGACAGTAACGACCCGTTTGGTGGGTGGTAATAAATGGATGTATTGTTAAGGAAAGTCCCATGTCAATGTTCATGGTGATGCTTGTCTTCCCCAAATGTCACTTTTTCTTCATAAATTATATTACCATCCATTATCATTTTGGTGGGAGGTAATGAAAATTTAGGAAGAAAAACATATGTTTGGGGATGGAGTTCCATTATTAAAGGCACAGCATGAGGCTTTTCTTACAAAATTACATACAAAATCATGACCATTACCATTGCTGTCTACTTAACAGGCTGTAAGAGTATTGCAAATGATTAGAGTAGTTGAGTTTTGATATGATCTGCTAGATTGCAGTAAGCTTTGCTGGAGCTTATTAGTTACAAGTCAAAGAAGTGATTTTTAGAGGCTTTATAATAAGATTATCTGGCCGCAAAACATGTGTCTTAACTAGTTCATATTTTAGGAGGTTGTATGACATGCATAACATGCTCACTCCACATCTTTAAGCCTTTTAGGCTGTGTTTGAGTATTTTCTTATTGTACTTAAAGAATGAATAATCAGATTTGGACTGTTTGACGGAAACTTGCTCTTGTGTCTATTCCCATCTACTTTCTAAGTGAAATATCTCTCAGAAAGCAACATTTCATCTTCTTCAAACATTGAATAGATTTGCTGCTAAAGTCATGCCCTAAAATGACAAAGCAACCACAATATTCCTTATTTATGCATTTAGTTATGGTAATTTTATCTCTTTTTGTATATCTTAGTATTATGGTGTAACTTACAGACCTTTTTTTTTTTTTTTTTTTTTTGGAGTTATCTATTCCCTTCTCAACTCTAGATCTACTACCCCTTGTCTGTTAGATTTTTTTGCTGTATCATTCATTAGCAAACCAGAGTAATGATGCAATTTCATTCACTCAGTTGAAATATGAGATAATTGGTTCTGGTGCTAAAAAGAATAATGGTATTTTCAAATGCATTCAACTAAAGAATGCTTGATAACCTCGTTTTAAAAATGGGTAACCACAGTCTAGTCCTAGTATGGTATATAACTCTACTTTTTGCATATGTACTTACGTTTTCTTCTGCCTTAGGCACAAGCTGCATATTTATGGTGCTGTGAGTGGACCTATGTTAACTTTGAATCATTTTTCTCGAGCAGTACGAATGGAGTTATATATCTTAACTCGCCATTCTGCATAATATGTACTTTGGGCTCTGGACAGTGTTGAAATGCAAGTACCTTTGGAGTGTACTGCAGGCCTGGAGCTATTGTTTTTCTTTCTTGTTGCTTATTAAAAGGTTGTTACTTTTTAATATAAGACATTTCACATGGAGGAAACATGGGAAACCTTGCTCTAAGATCCTAACCAGATTCTACTCTCCCCTGACTTTGTCACATTATTTGCTGATTCAAGTGTCTTCATTACATATTTTATATGCCTGCTCTGTGTATCACTATATTCTGTTTACTGGGCGCTTAATATCTAGTTCTAATATTCTCATGTTTAGTAGCGTATTCATGTGGCTCAGCTCATATACAATTGATTGTAGTGAAATCTCTCAATGAGCTTTAAACGTTATAATTATAGTTTTCTGATTATTTGTAGTCAAGCCGAAACTGTCTGCAGACCTGCTCAATGTCATTTGATTATTCTCCATTTATGAACAATTTTCAGACGTAAATATCTTTGAATAATTCGATTGCATGCGTTTGATTTTTCCCTATGGTTTTTATGATGCAGGCAGAATATATGGAACAAAATTTCAACTCTTTGGGGAAGGAATTCCACATCAGAATTGGACTACCTTTTGTATGCAGCTTGTCCATAAACAAGTTGCTGAAGCACTTGCATCAGCTGCAGCTCTAGCACGTAACCGAGTTTTGGCACCTTGCTTCACAGAATAGGATATGCTGATTTGTGCTTGTGAATTATAATCCAATTATTTTGGGATATTGTATACTTCCACATACAAGTAGTAGGTGTTAGAGGGGGACATCAACCTTCCATATCTTGGTAGTAAGTAATAAGGTGGTGGCGGTAGGCAAGTAGGCAACTTTCCTAAGTTTTGCGTTGCCTGTAAATAAGATTGCATTCATTTTTGCATTGTCCACTGCGTAATGTTTGATCATTTGAGCTCTGTTCATATTCAACTTGTTTGTGGAATGACACTTTTTAGTTCAAAAGCTGAGATTGTTGAACGAAGTCAATTGAGATTACAATGCAACTTGTTTGATGCGGCATTATATTATTCTTAAACTCGGTTCTATATAATATTTCTATTACCTTCATTTCATATTATTTGCAATGATTTGACATAAAGTGAGTAAAAAATGTCTAATAATTATAAGTAATATAAGACAGGTAGTATATAATTATTTGAGATAAAATACTATAACAATTGAGAAATATATTGTTTCAAGATTATATACTTTGATTGTGCTTTTAAGGCTTGTTCAAATTTACTAAAATGAGCTGAACTGAACTGAACATTTTATGAGTGAATGAAATTAAGAGTTGAACTGAACTGATTGGAAATGAACTGAATTGAACTGAAATTAAGCTAAGTGAACAGCCCTTTATAGCGTGGAAAATTATAAGAAGAACATAGTAAGAGATTTAAATCTTTATATACAGTACTATTTATGTTGCAAATGCTTTTTTAAATGTATGTAAAGGGTTGATCCCTTGACCCACACGATATTGGGCCAAGATTAAGGGGTAGTTTAAGTTAGGAGACAAATCAAAGCCCTAACAAGTAACAACGTACTCCTTCCTAAGGCAAGAATCCTGAACTCATTTCGTACATTATTACTAAAAAGGGTTGATACTATTGCACTTTTCCATCCTTGTATATTTATTATTACTAAAAAAGGTTGATGCTATTGCACTTTTCCATCCTTGTAATTTGATTTTCTATTTAAATTTTAACCTTACAATCTAGAACAATTCTAAGTGCGTGGAGAACTTTCTCCATTTTTGTAGTCAAATGTATTATTACAATAACCCCTCTGGTTTATTAAATTTTATTCTACTCCATCAGTTTATTTTTGAATAATTGGTTTCAATTACACTGACTAATGCCTATAAATGTGTAGAGTCACACGACTTTAAACAGGTGCATTTTAAACTGCTAACCACTATTATCGATACAATTGTTCAAGGTATAGTATAAGTGGTTAGAATATATTTGACATTATATATTTATATATGTCATTCTCGCATCTAACGTTGTAGTTTATTTGCAAAGTACGTTTATTTATTTATGTGAAATGTATAAAATTGAGTATTTTTTAAAAAGGAGTGTTTCATTTGAAAATTATCTTACAAACAGTTGTAATTACACTTCATATTGATAAGGGGTAAAGTTAGTAGTAATCATTGAGTAACCACAATCTTTAGTCGATTGATTATTGGTTATAATATAATTATAATGGTTAATCGTAGTGAGAATGGATGACAAGCTACTGTCATTTAGAAACAACTTAATGCGAATAGCGGTTAGAATCACATTGTTTCAATCTCAAATGATAATATATTAATATATGATTTTACGAAAAAAATACAAATTAACAAAATAAAGAATTTGTGGTAATTTATATTTTTGCAATCAATTTAGGTTCAAATAATAACATTAAAAATCTAATCAGAAATCAACATTGTTTTACAAAATAAGAGAGATGTTTTGGGACATCTATATATCATACTATAAATAACCAATAATGTGATTATCGACTTCATACAAAGGGAGTAAATATTTTGTCATCAAATAGGGTATCTACTATCTAGGGCTGGCTATACCAATATACCATGCCATATAAAAGTAGATAAATGATTTCATGCCATGTAATCATGCACACAAAGAATAAGATAATATAACTATAAACATGTAAAAGCTCAAAAATACTTTAATATAACCTTATTTAAAGGCTCGGTATATAAATTAATTACATGGAAATATGGAATAGAAGTGTGGTTGTTGAGAAAGAATAATAATATTGAGAGAGAATGTCGAGAATGAACTTATCTAATAATAATGGAAAAGTATAATAATGTACAGTATTATACCAAAATCATGCATTGATACATGGATTATCTAATTATGGTCCAATCAAACACTTTTGTGTCACTTTTTTGTATGTATCTTTTGTGTGTATAATTATAGTATGTAGTAATTTATATTATTAGATACCTTTGTAAGTTGTGATGATTAAACAAAGGATTATACTTCATTATATAAAAAGAATAGATTATAACGCATAAGAATCAAATTACATAATCGAGAACTTAATTTTATAATTTATATACACAAAGTATATAACGAACCATAATATCCAACATTCTTGCTAATAACAGTTTAAGATTCATCGAGAACAATGAACAATACTTTGATTAATTAATAAGTTAATTAATGTTAAGAGTACATATATTTTAGTAGATTAGTAAGTTAAGTGTCGGAGATTAATAAAAACTACTCCGTAAAAGTGAAGGAACAATAAGAAGACAAAACAACGTGAAAATGCCATGCGCTTTTGATAGAGAGAGAGAGTTTAGTACTCGTAAAACGCTCCTCAACAGAATTTGTAAAAGCCCAAAAAAAAATATATTAATTAAAAAAAAGGCCATAAAATTCCACGCTTAGCTTTTTGCATGGACGTGCATAAATTCCTGACTGCGCGTGCATTTGCATTTGCTAGGTTTTTCATCTTGTGGGGGCCACTTTACCTCTAATATTAGTCCCTTAACTCTCTTAAAATTATACTTTTAACCATTTACCAATGAGACAATCAACATTATTATCATCATGGATTCGAAAAAGTATCCCTAATTATGTTATCATTGTTACTAGAATTATTGATAATGGCATTAGTAGCCCACTTCTAATTGTTGGAATTGAAGCTAGGGTTGTCCACCGGTTCTAAGGGCCTATTCTCATTGACCGAACTGAGCTGAACTGAACTGAACTGAATATTTTATAAGAGAAGGAAATTAGGAGCTGAACTGAACTGAAATGAATATTTTATAAGAGAAGTAAATTAGGAGTTGAACTGAACTGAACTGAATTGAGCTGAACTGGACTGAAATGAATATTTTATAAGAGAAGTAAATTAGGAGGTGAACTGAACTGAACTGAATTGAGCTGAACTAAACTGAATTTCAACGTATGAGAATAGGTCCTAAATTAGATGGGTGAATCGGAATACTAAAATCGTTCACTTTAACAGATTGATTAGCAAATTACTTTTGAACCAATTTCACGGTTATAAGCTTCTATAAACATAAAAATCTCCAAATTTATATGCGTGAAAATTGTAAATCTTTTATATACATTATTTAGATGCAAATATAACAAGATACATTCCAAAATTAAACTTGAGAGTCGTCAATAAGACTGTAATATTATATATAAATATTAACCTCAACTGTCTTGTGATCTATCATCATCATTTATTTAATTAGTTAATTTCATTATTAAAAAAATTATATGTCCTCTATCCTAATTAATGCAAGTGAACTTTCAAAGCTAATTAAATATTAGGGTTAAGGAAGAAGCACCATTAAACTAAAATAAGAGGGGATTAATTAGAATTTTTTAAAAATATCTCCACTTTTGATTAAATCTCCTAGATAGTCAATCCATGATTTTTTTAAAATTCCTTTTAAAAATATATATACACCATCTTTTTTTTTTTTGAAACAACCGAACCTCGATTATATTAAGAAGCGAATATAACGTTCATCAAAACATAGGGGAAAATCTCACAAGGAATATGATTTACCCATACTTGTTCAATACCAAAAGGAATAAGTCTAGCTAAGTGATGAGCTACATAATTCCCTTCTCTATTAACATGAGACCAAAACACATATATACACCATCTTCGTAAAAATATAGGATTAAAATATAAACAATAAAACAAAATTTGCCTTCAAAGTATGAATATTGAGTGGGTCCGGTTATATATATGGTGTTAGAAAAAAGGAAAAGAAAAAAGATGGGGATGACCTTTTCTTTAGAATTATTGACGTTTAAAATAGTCACAAGTAGAAATAGATCTGCGAGAATACTATACAATTATAATCATAACACTCAAGAAAGTTACACTCACTGGCCCGCTCTTGCGTTGCCCACTGGCCGGCTTTCCGTGATCAAACCTAACTAAATGTCCCGGAGATTTCAGACTTTTCAATAGCCTAAGGCCTAGTAAAGAAAGTGTTGTAAGTATTTAAAAACAGTCGAAAGATGCAAGTGTTTACAATAATTATTTAGGAATGAGGGGAGTAGTATATTGTTAAATTATTTGTTTTAGACAGTAATCAACCCAATCTAGCCAATTCAACTTCATTTTTTTATTAATTGTAATAGGAACCCGAATATCCCTCCACTCTTGCGCGTAATGCCCTAATGCTAGTGATACAAAATTAGAAGTGTACTTTCATTGTACAATATCTCTATTTGCTATTTGAGAAATATTTATGTAAGATCATCTTATATATTATTAAGTTATTACAAGCCTAAGTTACTTTGTAATATTTTTTTTGGTCTTCTGAGAGTTGAACAAGGGTGAGAATCGATTCAGGATTTCCTGGATACGAGAGGGCTTGAGTTATCCTTCGCTCTCAATTTACTTTGTAAGTCATTGTAAGTATGTGACCCTTGTCTTAGTTTCACTATTTTCTTGGCTAATTTATCAATATATAAGATGGTCTTATTTAAAATTTTATTTTACTCTTAGCATTTTACTTCAACTTTTTTTTATAGAATATGATAATTATTCTAGTTAATATTCTGTATAGAACGGAATAGTTTGTGAATATTTTGTAAATATCTTTTGAGATTTTCCAACGAGATTAGGACTCATCTTTGTAACCCTATTTATATGAATAAATGGAATACACTCCGATCTAAGGAGTTGAGTATAATCTAGCATTTTTATCTCTTACAAAATCAAAAATTTTATTCAATACTTCTTCTATCTCATAATACAATATCTCTTTTTTTTTTTTTTGGGTAAACCAAATACAATGTCTCGGTTGAACTTTTTGACATATTATCCTCTTTTTGATGAATAATTGTTATGTTTTTTCATTTTCTATTTCTTTCTTGTATTT